AAGGATTCAACCCTTGAACTTACTGGAACACCCCTCAATATTATTGTAGGGGTGGTAGAATCATGTCTGGTGCTTCGATCTTCTCCCCATTTTTTCTCCTTCCAAATTCTGCAGGTCCACAAAAATTCTCACTCCTTCACCCTTTCCTCTCCTTAAAAGTGGCTCCAAATGTGGCATCTCCTCTTCTTCCCCCAACATTTTCACCTCCTGATCTTTCCCTCTCCTTATCATATTAGGTTTCCTCCGCCCCCTTGGTCGTTGGTGGCTCCCTTGCCTCTAACGATGCTGTTTGGTTTGGAACTCAAGCATCTTTCTCATGATCTCCTCCATGATGGAGAACTTCTCCTCAATCTTCTCATGAATTGCTAAAAATAGCTTTTTGAAATCTGAATTTTTTTCTACACAATCTAATTTCAATGCCCGATCTCCCCTTCCAATAATTCTACTTTTCTTTCAGCCATGGGTGTCTGAATTGAACAGCTCTGATACCAATTTGATAGGAAGTGGAAGCAGAACTTGTGAAATTCCTTGGCTTAATTTACAATTTTGACAAAAAAAATCGGTAACAAGTAAACGAAAAAGAATAAAACTCAAGAACACTTTATGGATTATATATGAAAGAAAAAACAAGATATAGTTGGATCTTCAATTGGCGAGGAAGATCCGACCCTCCCAAATCTCTAGACGCCGTAGAGCCCAAAGCACCCTAAAAAATAGTATAATTTCAGCAAACAAGACCTCCCCTAACTCTAGTAAAATATCTTACTTAAAGCAAACAATAAACAACAAATACCCAAAGAATTCTCCCCTAATTCCCTCCCAAATCTGTTAGATTTCTTTAATTAAATCAGCCCCCAAATCAGCCCTCACATCTGCCCTCTTCAATTAGGCAACATCTCCTAATTAATCCCCTCCAAATCAGACCTCAATCTACCCTCTTCAATTAAGAAATATTTCCTAATTAATCCCCTCTAAATCGGCCCTCAAATCAGCCCCCAAATATGCTATCTTCAATTAGAAAACATCTCCTAATTAAAGAGTTCCCTCTATTAGAAAACTTCTTAATTCCAATCAAATTAGTTGGTCCATCAATAATATCCTTAAATAGTTTAAGAGGTATGTTCTTACAATATTGGATAGTATATAAGTGCAATGAATAGGTTGAGTAATACTCTTAATGATATGTATAGTCCTTAATTTTTAATGATTTTTTAGATGCAGCACACATGATATAATCAACTATATGATTGTGAAAGTGCTGCTTATACGATTGGAGGAGGGCGGCCCAACCCGGCCCAACCCAACCAGATCACCCGGTCCAACAAGGACCAAACCAGCCAAGATGTTGGGTAGAACCTCGAGCATAAACCAGGGGAATTTCATCCCCCATTGTGGTGCCCAAAAAGTTGTAATTCATTATGTAAGGAGAAGAAATCAAGGAAGAGATGTTTAGAAAGGTTTTAACTTGTTTAGGAAAGATTTAATTGGCATTATTGTACGATTAGGGCTATTTAACATGGAGTTTTGTCTATGGTTAATATCTCTTGTTTGCTGAATTTATTCTAGGATTTTTTTAGGGTTTCCTAACAGCGGCTAGGATTTTTGGGAGAGTTGATCTAACTCTCGAACAGTAGATCACTTGTATCTTTATTTCTTGTTGAAGAGATAATCAAAAATCAGCCCTTATTATGTTACTGTAGTTTCTACTTGTCTACTTTGCTATTTTTACTTCCAAGATGCATCAGCTGCCTCTTATAAAAACTGATGCAAGCTCTCTAGAGCAATAAAAAATACAAGATTGGCACAAGGCCAGAATATGTCAAATCACATTAAACAAACTTCTTTAAGAACTTAAAGGCAATGATAACAAGCTTATTAAAATTAAAGGAATGACTACCATAGAAACACAGATTCACCCAGTTCCTGTAAATCAGTTCTTATTGACACAATGCATTACTTCATAATCCAAAAAACACAAATATTTATGCATCACATTCTTGTTGATATAACTTCTTTTTAAATATGGGGAAGATTGTTATGCATATAGGTATTTAAATATATATATATATATATATATATATATATATTTCTTTTATAATAATTTGGAAACCAAAATATTAAATAACTTGGTCCTCCGTATCCCCATGAAGCTCGATGATATCTCTAACAGAGAGGGAATGTTCCCAAAACTCTTTGAACGATTGCTAATGCATCTCCCATTCTCATTTTCTACGTCTGTTTATGATTGCATGCAGCCTCATCTCCTTCTATTATTCAGAAAGCCTCGCTCGTTCAACCTCTTTTAACAACTCGTAATCTGAAAGAATTTCCCACATATCTAGGCCTCACACCAACTCTTGAAAGTATGTTGTTGTGCTTAATATTCACCACAATATATTAGTGATGAAGATACTCCATCACATATGAGATAGGAATGGTCCATTTATAAATGATTCAAATTTGGCAGCTTGACTGAAGGCTAAAAAAAAGTTTGTAGAGCCTTTTTGATAGCTTCTCTATTTGATTACACTAGCTAGAGCATTGCTTCACCTCCGAGCAAATTAGCCCCTCTCATTGACTATCTTAGGTTTTGAGCCTTTACAGTCACAATTCTCGCTAAACTAGGCAAATATTTGGATTTGAGGTTTCTTATTTGCTTCCTGATCGACTACAATTAAGACATTTACATTCTTAAAACTGATGTGATCTCAAAGAGAATATCCATCAAGAAAAAATCAAATTGAGCTACTTGAAATAAATCATTTCATTCTAAGATGGTTATTCAATGTGGTCTTCCTCGAAAAGTGCACAATGCGTGGGAAGAGCATATCATCCTACAAAGTTGCTGCCAATCAGCTTGCATTGAGACACGTTCTCCAAACAACTCAAGGACAAGATTTGTATTTGTGTACTTATATCTATATATTTTCCATTTAATTATTTAACTTTAATGTTTTGCTTCTATATTTCACTCATTTAACATACCTAAAATTTCAATAAAAAACTAAGCATAAAACAATCCAAAACAAGAGATGAGATTCTAATTCCTCACCTGGACAACAGGACCAATCATAACTAAATTCTTGTTATGCATCTGCAAACATAAAAAAATTAAAAAATTAAAAAATAAAAACAATTAGCTCAATCTATGAAAATCTACTAAAGAATTAATTAAAAAAAAATGGATAAAGAATTAATTAAAAAAAAAACATTAGAATGAAACCATCTAACCATTCGGGGATTATTGCAAGTGAAAGCAAATGAAAAAATAGTTGAAATTTACAAATTAATGACTGTTAATTCATAATCAGCCCATAAATTACATGTATTTTGTTTTATTTCATTTTCATTCCAAACAGGAGTTTTTCCACTACTAGAGACTTTTTCATATAACCAACCTAATTCCTGTAATCAACCCTACTACTTGAACTAGTACCAGCACGGGAAGAACTTGTACCTCTGTTTCTATCATAATATCAATTATCAAGTTACTTTACGAGAGCAGAAGTGACATCACATCGTGTGAGAGGTTGCACAAGCTTACGTCTGGGCCCGGTTTAGGGGCAGTACTCACAATAGTGTATTACGCTATGTGGTGCTAGAGAGGAAAAATCAACTCTAAAACTTTCAAGGCAATGTTTTTAGGACAACCTACCAATCAGATATGCTGAAATTCTTTTCTTTCATAACTTCACATTCACAACTTCACTATTGTCATCTCTCAAACTGAGAAAGATGGTGCTGGAAAATAATAGAAATAATCAGGTGGATGAACGTATAGAGAAAATAATTATTGTGATGAAAAAGCCCTAATGCGGAAAAAAAGTATTGGTGTACAACATCAATGAGGAACTAAAATAGCCTGAATAAGCAAATAAGAAGAACATCACAGAGCAAAACATCACCTATATTTGTAACATGTATATATATGTTAGTTCAAAAAAGAAATAGAAATATAGAAAATAATGAGCTAGCCAAGACAGAAAGATTGATCTCCACAAATGTAAAGCAGCAATGGTTGGAAGTTTTTGTAGTTAAAAGAATTAATTTTAAAATTAAGAGCGCGTCATCTAAAGATGGCCCCGGTTACACTTTCATGAAAACAAATATCATAGTAGGTAAAAGAATCATCATACATCATCTATCTCCAAAAGTAAAAGTCCTCCGTGTACTAGAATTTCCAAGAATATAAGCATTTATAAGTAATTTTTCATGAGTAATACCTTAGGAATGTTTCCTATTAAAATATAAAAATAAATAAAATAGTCAATCCCAATTATGGCAAATGTAGGCTATGTTAAACTTCAAAATGAATAATCAACAAATTATTATGGGAACTACTTTCACTTTGCTAATTGCCAAACACAAAGACAAAGACACCAAAATAATAAAAATAATTTCGATTTCAAAACAATATTTAATCACAGTACAAACACAAACATTATGTATCAAATATTTTAAAATTTTGTTATATGAACATTATGTATCAATGAAAATTATCTTTTCAAATATCCATAGTAATTCCATGTCAAAGTGGATGAAAACAATACCTACACATGTTTGCAATTGAAGCTTATTTTGCAGCAAAGCAAATGATAAGCCTAAGAAATAGGGTGATGATTAGTTGGGCTTAAGCGATTATGTTTAAGAAAAAAACATGTTTTTGAAATGTAGCAGTAGCTAATATGAATGAATATGAAAATGCACAAAATAATAACAAAAAGGCCCCAAGCCACAAAAAACGCTAAGATCTATATAGCGCAAAAAACACATCTAAATCCACAGGAGAAGAGTGGAGACGACCCCTATCAATAAGCCATAGATGTGTACAAACAAATAAAGCACAAGAAAATCTTCTTTTCCAAACTCAAGTGTACAACAAATTTAACCGCAAGGAGAAGCCCCGAACCTCTTAACATTTCTGTTATATGTTCCACAAACAATGCCACTGCGTTTCCTATGATATTGTTGCGCTAAAAAAACAACTAACATCATTATTCTAGCAACATAGCGCTTGCACACCATCATGACAGTTCACCACAGTCAAAACAAATGAACCAAGCGATATTTTTCTTTAATCTTATTACTCTTTTATTTTCTCTTCCTCTCTCATTTTATCATTATGTTTTTTTTAGCCTCCTCTGCCTAATTTTTTCTTTTAGTTACCAGAAACAACCTCTCCATCTCTCAATTTCTAATTCTCAAGGCACAAAGCACCTGGCTATTTATCACACACAAAAGCCATCCACAAAGAATTCACAAGTTTGAATATTCTTTCCCCCATTCTATTTGTAAGAGTTCAAGGAGATGGAAATTCAAAATCAAAATCGAATTCAATTTTTAAATTGAAATTAATCAATGCTAGGTTATATATCACACAAAGAACACATACAAAAAGGATTCAAAAGTTAGAATATTCTTTCCCACATTCTAGTTATAAGAGTCCAAGGAACTGAAATTCAAAATCAAAATATTGCTTCAATCTTAACTTGGAATTAATAGATAATAAAAAAATTTTTAACACATTCTTATCCAAGAATATTACATTAACAACAACATCAAGTCTTTATCTTTGTACATGAGGTCAGCTACATGAATCCTTTTTTTCTCCATTTTGACATATTAAGAGTCAAATTCTTATTTAAATCTAATAAAAAATATCATTTCTAATACTTTATAACCAAGCCCTTTTAAGTCAACCTATATTGTTCTTAACATAGGTCAAATCAAATAAATCTACTCTCCTAACCAGCCGCATACCTCTTTTTTTTTCTTTTTTGATTTTTCTCCATAAATACCGCCGCTTGCCCTAGTTTCGCACCTCTTCCTATGGAATAGACGATCAGATCTCTTCTCCGGTTGCCTCTTCCGCTCTTCAATTGGATTGCTCCGCAGCTTGAAGCGATGTAGGACCGACATTTTCGCCATTCGCCGACGAAGGTAAGGATCTTTCACATTGAAGCCTCTGTTCCTTCACTCCCAACTCTCACCCCCTTTTGCTCTGTGAATGTTTGAGTTGAATCTAACAAAAAAATTTACTTCCAAATATTTGTTTTTGTATCTTTTTGTCTCAGAAATTTACACACATTTTGGGGTTTTCAAACACCTGTTTTATCCAATGTTCTTTCCCTACTTAAGAACTTTAAGATGATGGAAAATTTATTTATTTAGCAGAAATTGCAACTTACCAACAACATATACAAAATTTACCAATAAGGTCAACTCTTAGCTCAATGAGAATTTGGATGGGATCAATAGAAGGATTTTGATTAAGAGAGGCAGAGGAGGGAAGTACTTATTGCTTATATATTTATTGAAATTTTAAGAACTAATCCTTTTGATTCATTGGTTTCGGTACTCTGCCTCATTGATAATCATCTGTTGCAAGATGATTTTCATTACGATGGGAGTAAGCTTAAGACAGAACAACTAAGTTGGCAAACTGAGCTTGCCTTATTAGTTGGGTACGACTGCACCAGATAGTGTAATGTGAGAAATTAAATTTATCTGAGAGGATAATTCTATATGTATACATGAGTATAATTGTATTTTTTGAGCTTTTTTTATCAAGGCTTAGCTTATTTGCTTTAAAAGTTGTTGAGATTGAGCCAATTAACTAGTCAAATATTAGTTGTTTACTAACACAGTGCCAGATTAAAAACTTTGTTTTGTTCGTCAATGTTTTTTGTTCAAATTGATTTGTCAAATTCTATATGTTTTAGGCATTTTAATTTTGGACAAAGTTTATGGAGAGATTTTTTTTAGTAGTCAAAATCTTGCTTACTAACACCTATAGAGGATTAAAAAAAAAAACCCTTCTATGAAAAAATTCTGGCTTCGCCACTGACGACTATCTCTAACCTTATTTTCCACTAGAGCTACTTCAACCTTTTTCACATATATACTCGTTTTCCATTCTATCTCCAAGTGCAAAGCCACTCATCCACCTGAGCATCCTCATCTCTGCAACACTTAATTTTATGCTTCTATTTTAACGGCCAACATTTTGCGCCATAAGGCATTGCAAGTCTCGCCACCATCATAAAATTTTCCCTTTAAGTTTGTGTGGTATTTTTCTATCATACAACAAACCTGATGCATTCCTCCACTTCACCATCCAACTTGAATCTACTAATAATATCTCCATCTATTTCACCATCACTTTGAATAATAGACCCGAGAAATCTAAAACATGCACTTTTTATAATGACTTCGTCGCCCGAAGTCACAATCCCTCTACTAGATTTGTTACGATTAAAATAAAACTCCATGTATTCGGTTTTAAATCTATACAAACAAAAACCTTTAAACTCTAAGGTTGACCTCCATAATTTAAATTTTCCTTCAACTCTCCCTTTAGTCTTATCAACAAGAAAAATATCATCAACAAAAAGCATCACCAGGGTACATCACTTGCAAATGTCTTGTAAGAACATTCAAGACTAAATCAAAAACATATGGGCTTAAAGCTGATCCTTAATGTAATTCAACTAAAATAGAAAATACTTGGTTAAACAACCTTATGTTTCCCTCAAAAGTAATAGCTCCTATATGCATATCCTTGATGACTTAAATATAAGCATTATTAACTCCTTTTTTTCTAGAACTCTCTAAAGCACTTCTCTTAAAACTTTATCACATATTTTCTCTAAATTAATAAATAGCATATAGATCTTCCTTGCTCTCTCTATACCTATACATCAAACCTCTCAACAAATGTATAGCTTCCATAGTAGACCTACTCGACATGAATCTAAATTGATTTTGAGAAAAATTAATATCACATCGTAACATATGCTCAATTAATCTCTCCCATAGTTTTAATGTATGACACATTAACTTAATTCAGCTATAATTCACACACTTTTGTGCATCACCTTTAATCTTTAAAATAGGAACCAACACACTCTTTCTTCACTCATCTAGCATCTTTTATCTTCAAAATAATATTAAAACGTTTAGTAAACCAAAAAAATTCCTTCATCTTTTAAGCATTTCCATATCTCTATTGGGATATCATCAGGTTCAACTATTTTTCCACACTTCATTTTCTTTAAATTCTCTCTAACTTCAATTTTACTAACATGACGATAAAAAAATCTCTATTTTCATTTAATGTGCTAAGACCACTAAAGTCAATCATATTCTCACAATCTTCATCAAATAGCTTAACACAATATTGCATTCACCTATGTTGAATGTCTTATTCTAATAAAACACTTTTTAATCAAAATCTTTAATGCACTTCACTTGAATTAAATCTTTATTTATCCTATCTCTTTGTTTGGCTAACTAGGTATTTCACATATATTAGATATGTGTGAAATACCTAGCTAGGTGCTTCATATATATTCATTTTTGTAGAGTCCCTAGCTAGGTGCAGCTGTTATGAGAAAATTTTAATGATTAACATCACAATCAAATAGCCCTTAACATTAAAAACTAGCTAAGTCTTTCATAGAAAACTAATTATTTGTTGTTATAACTATTGAAATTCTATTATAGTAGCAATACCTTGCAACATCAAGCCTTTATCCCACTATGTGGGGTCTACTACATGAATCTTTTTTCTTCATTGTATTATGTTAAGAGTCAAATTCTCATTTAAATCTAATAAAAAATGTCATTTCTAATATCTTATAACCAAGTATTTTTAGGTTTACCTCTACTATTCGTAATATAGGACAAATCTAATACATCTACTCTCTTAACCGGGTCATCAGAAGGTCTATGTTTTATGTGACCAAACAATCTAAGGCGACTCTCTCTAATCTTATATGCCATTGGAGCTACTCTAGCCTTTTCACTTATATGCTTGTTTTGCATTTCATCGCTAAGAGTAAAGCCACTCATCAATGTAGCATCCTCATCTTTGCAACACTTAATTTTATATTTCTCTTTTAATGGCGAACATTCTATGCAATAAAGTATTACAGGTCTCACCACCATCTTATAGAATTTTCTCTTAAGTTTGAGGGGTACTTTTCTATCACACAACAGGTCCAATGCATTCCTCCACTTCAACCATCCAACTTGAATTTCTACAAATAATATCCCCACCTATTTCACCATCACTCTGAATAACAAACTCAAGATATCTAAAACATGTACTCTTATTAAAGATTCAATAGCCCAAAGTCACAATCCCCCCGCTAGATCTATTACTACTAAAATTACACTCCATGTATTAAGTTTTAGATCTACTCAAATGAAAATCTTTAGACTCTAAGGTTGACCTCTATAAATCAAGTTTACCTTCAACTCCCTCTCTAGTCTTATCAATAAGAAAAAAATCATCAACAAAAAACATTTATACCCTCTTATAAATGTCTAGTAAGAACATCCATGACTAAAGCAAAAAGATATGGGCTTAAAGCTGATTCTTGATGTAATCCAACAAAAATAAGAAAATTCTTGGTAAAACCACCTTGTGTTTGAACACAAGTAACAGCTCTTGCATACATATCCTTAATGACTAGAATATAAACATTATTAACCCCTTTCTCTTTTAGAACTCTCCATAGCACTTCTCTTGGAACATTATCATATGCTTTCTCTAATCAATAAATATCACATATAGATACTCCTTATTCTCTCTATAATTATCCATCAAACCTTTCAATAAATGTAAAGCTTACATAGAAGACCTCGACATGAATCAAAATTGATTTTAAGAAACATTAAAATCACATTGTAACATATGCTTAATGCTTAATAACTCTCTCCCGTAGTTTTAAAATATGACACATTAACTTAATTCCTATATAATTCGCACATTCTTATGCATAACTTAATTCCTAAAAGCATCTTTATATGTCTCTCAATTTTCTAAGTTTTTACATCTAAACTAATTTTTATAACAAAGCTTATTATTTTTTATTTTTCTTGCACATTTTGATTTCATTACCAACTTGTTTCATATTAGGAGTTTTTCCTTTTGATACTTCAAGCACATCCTTTGCAATACCTTACTAGGTATTAAGAAAAATGATAACAAGTGAATTACCTAGTAAGTAATCTATTATAATGGACTTTAAATGCTTAAAACCACAACAAATAGCTAGGAACTATATATATATATATATTGGAAGTATCTAGCTATTTAATCAATCATCATTCCCTATTTCTCAAATAAGCCATGAGTACACAATGAAATTTATTTCTTTAACATAAATAGCTAACATTTTATTTTAAATAATATAAATCATCTCAAAATATAGTATATTGAGAAAATAACAATTCATTTCACAATAATATTATGGAAGCTATATTTTAATATGATTTTTTTATCAAAATAGCTAGCTATTTCATATATGCATTAATATAACATATAATTGCTTCAAATGTACTATTACACAAAAAAATATTATTCAAATTTAAACCTAAAACGTTAAGAATGTAGCTTTATTTCAAGAAATAGATTATTCGAAACCCCATACAACAGTTAGCTCAAACTGTTTAAGTCGACTGGAAGTGTGATAGGAAACACTTGAGTTCGCAAGCAACCCTAAGGTAATACTTGAGTTCGCAAGCAACCCTAACCCAAACCAGTACAAATACAACAGCGAAACTGCTGTCCACAACAGTAAAACTGCAGGAAATAGGGAAAACAGCTAGAAAACACAAGTAGAAGGCTTGTATTTCACTAGAAGATGAATAAAATAGCAAGATACAATTGATCCTCAATTCGAGAGGAGGATCGTTCTCTCCCAAATCTCTGGCAACGCCAAGAGCCCAAAGAAAACCTAAATCTAAGAGATCTCAAATTTCAGACAAATTCAAGATCATCAAACCCTAGGAAAATCTACTATTTAATGCATACAAATCAAAAGGAATTCCCTAAACAGTCCCTACGTTCAAATTTCCCTCTCAAAACGCTAACAAACGCTTCCTAAAATGCTCTAATGGGCTGGTCGGACCGATCAATCTCCGCAGGAGGTGGAGATCTGTCGCTCTTTGCGACTTGCCGGTCCTGTGCGGACCGGCTGGACCGGTCCAGTGGACCGGTCTAATAAAGTGGCGCTAAAGCTGAATTGGAAATACATAGGTTGCACTGCAACTACCAAAGAAGCGTGCGAATTTTCGTTCAACGGTTCAAGCTATTGGAGGAAGTCTCAAATGACGATGGAACTACATGCGAAAGGACTACACAGAAAGGCACTGAAAAGATGTAAATTTCTTCACATAATAACCAATAGGTGGGACATGAAAAATCCTCTTTGAAACACTGAACTGCAGATTAACAATGGCTTGTTATAAAAGTCCAGCCAATTGCTATTGGGTTTCTAGGGTTGGGTTAGGATTAAAGTTATAAATTAAAAAAGGATCATTTACATGTGTCAACCAATTATTGGCCCTAGCACATAGATATACGTGGCCTCCGCACATAGAGCTACATCCAACCTCCACACATAGGGCAAATTATTAGGTCCGGTCACCGGACCTAAAAATAGGTCCGGACATCCAATGAAAACTTGTCACATGGACTGTGCTTTGACTGTGTTTTTTTACTGTGCTTTGACTGCGCTTTTGATTGCACTTTGACTGCACTTTACCTATACTTTACCTGAGCTTTTGACATGCTTGACTTAAATTTCCCGGACAAACCGGACCTAATAATTTGCCCACACATAGAGCTCGTGCAACCTGCAAACATAAAATTTTTTTCCAGACGAAAAAAGATAAACACAAGAACAAAATTGCATCTTGCACTTAACCAAAATTTAAATTGAACGTCTAGATAACTAATGAAATCATTATAGGTAGCATATTCATAAAAAAGGAATAAACTTGACCTTTTTGTCCGTCGGAAGCATCATGGTGCTCCTGCTCCTCCTCCGACACGGGATGCAGCTCCGCATCTTTATCAGCTACTGCAGCAGTAGCATCATCATAGTGGGAAGCATTCCTGGCCCGCAGAACGCCATCTCCCCCTTCGTCGGGGTAACGTACCACGACCACAGGGCAAACACAGTGATGGACACAGTAATCGCTGACGCTGCCGAGCCTACCCTTGATGCTCCTCCTCGAAGCTCCGAAACCCCTGCTTCCCATGATCACCGCACTGAGCCCAAGCCTCTCCACCTCGAGGCAGAGCCTTTCCTTCATGTCATGGTCCTTAACAATGTGGATCTTAAAAGGGATCTGCGCTTCGACTAGTGGCTGGGCAAGGTCCTGCGCCTTGGTGGTGGTGAACGCATCGAAGTCACCTTCCAATTTCTGCTGCGAATCCTCCGATTCGGCATGCTTGACCTCGCCGGCGGCTTCTGAAACGGAATGGTCGATCGAGCCCCAGTCAGCGCCGTACAGAACGGAGGTAGAAAGTACATGGAGGAGAATAACGGCGTCCCCAGGGCGGAGGTAGTTCTGCACCGCCCATCTCACTGCGTAGGCGCTCTCATCACTCAAATCGACAGCAATCGCGATCCGGCGGTGGGAGCCGGTGTTGGGGTTCGCCGCTGCAGCAGATGAAAAGAAGAAGCGCGGAGAACAAGGCTGGATCGTTTGCGCCACCGCGGCAGAAACCAACACCGGCGATCCCGGCGCCGGGTGGTCAGCGTCTGATTGAGTCTGCTGGGTTTGCATTCCGATGGAGTCAGGACCTCTTCTTCTCGAGATGCTTTTGCTGTACTTACCGTCCTCTTATCCGCAGCTTATTGATTTCCCCTTGGGCCAATTCGATTTCGAAACCGAAGTGAAAGGGTTTTGGGTTTCTTTCGGAGCTTTATGGAGAAAGGCGTGGGAGGATGAACGCACACTACTTGCTAATTTATCGGAAAGAAACAACGAACGAGCAGGAATAATACCCTAAAAAATCATATATTTCGTTCATAAAATTAAAAGTTCAACCTGCAAGTAGGGTGTCAATTTTTTATCCGACCTAAAACTTGACCCGGATTCGATCCGGAAAAATCTGGATTTGATTCAACCCGTTTGCAAAGCGGGTCGGGTTGGGTCCGGGTTTAAATTTTTGACCCGTTTGAAAAACGGGTTGGGTTCGGGTTGACCCGACAACCCGCGGGTCAACCCAAATTAACCCTTTTCGCAAACCCGCTACTCAGATCTCGTCCCGTTAGCTCATCAGGTAGTGTCCCGCTTCGGCGTCAGGTCCAGTGAACTCGCGCGTGTCCAGCCCGGCGGGCCCGCACAGCCGCGGAGCAGTGGATCCCGCGTCCAACCGGACCAGCCCGCACTCGGCACCTCGGCGGAGCCTCCGTTCAGCCCGCACCAGCTCCGCTCCGCAGGCGCGCTCACGAGTAGCAACTTGGACTCCGCCGCTGCCGCTCGCGATCCCGCACAACCGAGCTCGGGTCGAGTTGGGTCAACCCGGCAACCCGAGCAGGTCGGGTCCTAGTTGAAATGTCCGACCCGTTTGCAAAAATGAGTCGAGTTCGAGTTAATCCGTTTAGATCCGGGTCAGCTCGGGTTCAACCCGAACCTGACCCGTGGACCCGAATTGACACCCCTACCTGCAACTCAGCTGATCATCATAACAATCAATAATTTGGTAAAAGAAATATGCAAATAAACATCCTAAATATTTATTTTTAGGTTCTCGTTTTTTTTTTTCCTTGTAAATCAACAATACATATAAGTACAGTCCGTTTGGAGTGTATCACAAAATTTAATACACAAAATGAATGTCCAAATGTATACTTAAAATATTATTAGATTCATACATATCAATGCAAAATCATTTTGCAATTATATAACTAAAATATATAAATAGGTAGATGATTTCTAAGCATTATTTATTATTAATCATTCTAAATTCTATGTAAATTGTGTGATGTTTCATATATTTTACTATCACTTGTCATCATTGTCACTCTTTCTTTATGAGAAGAAGAATAAGATGTGCCAACAATACAGAATATGTGGTTGTCTTGTTGTGACGAGATCCACTGATAGTAGTCCAACAACAATGATCGAGTGGTACTCTGACTGTGATGGTTTGACAGTGATGGTCGAGGCGGTAGTACTCAATTAGAGCTCTAAGATTCTTCGAGCCTCTAAGCCTCTTAAATCTGAAGTCAAAGGTCCTATTCATGGAGAGAGTTGATGGTCTATTTATAAATTTTGCGAGTGATATATCTGATAAAAATAGTCAAAATCCGAAACATTTTATTGGGCTACTCTTATTGATTCTCTTGATAATAATTGTTCTTTCAACATTTAAGTGCATCCATGTTATCGAGCTTAAGCGATATAAAGCTTGTTAGATTCATTTTTGAGACGATCAATTTTACTTTAAGCATATATAATTCACAAATCATTTAGTTCTCCAATTAATATCTATAATTTTTTATTTATACTTTAAGTATTTGATCTGATCTCATTTGGACTCAAATTTGATTAGGTGCTAAGATATCAAAAAAATCTTCATTCTTATGAAGTAATATGTGTTTGGCCATGCTTCGATTTACTGTAAAGAAGACACTAACATATACTTGTGATCCAACTTGAGAGGAGCTGTTAGCATACTAAGAAATATTATTAAGAAATCATTCCTTTAATTATATTTTTTTTTTCTTCTGATTATATTCATTGTTTATGCCTATAATGGACACCCTTACCCAATGAATAAAAACAAATTCATACACACCATGTACATAAATTTCGAGCCTAAAGCCTCTCCGTTGATAGTCAAAGCTCTCAATCAACAAATCAAGTTGAGCTATATTTATCCATGCACTTAGAGTTACGATAACATATAAAGATTGAACATATGTGCCATGCAATACGCAAAATTATGCTATCGCAAACACTTATCAAACTGGTGATGTGTGAAGGACATTTCATCAACTCCCTAATTTGAAATAGTGACGAGTGCATGTGAAATATTTAGGAGATATTATTACATGCAGGCACCGAACACGTACAAAGGCCAATCAAAAGCCGCCACATCACATAATACACTGTGCATTAAATGACATGTCAGCACCTGATTGACATCCACACATAATAATTTTTCCATATTTAGGACATCATTGATTTAAAAGAATTAGAAGAAATCCTAATAATAAACTTCACAATTTCATAGAGGATATTTGATTTCGTTATAACAAATAAATAATTAAATTTCTCTAAAACAAATACAATGTTCTATCAAAAACTTCCTAGCCACTGTTGCTTAAAAATAAAAAAGAAAATTTATTCATATTATTTTTTATGTTTCTCATATCCCTTTTTAATAAATAAAAACTACCAATTTCATCAATAAAAAAAAACCTTCGGATTTATTTAAAACGGCTACAAAATTATTATTTTGTAAAGATGAATGTGAAGCTCCTATAAATAAACAACTTTTTAAAAATTTGAATATTTCTCATCACCATTCATAACACAAAATCTGCCAAGGTAAAAGCTTCCTTTCTTATACAGCATTTACTTTCTGAACAAGATATAGAAGTTAGAGAAGCATTCCAAAGGAATCATTACATAAGAGAGAGGAAATTCATATCTGTACATAAAATAATAAAACTAGGATGCTGTGAACTAGAGCTTTATACTTAGTGAACTCAGCTACTATACCTATCGATTGCCCTTAGGTTACAAGCGCCGCTCAGTTAGATCCAGCAGCTAAGCCTGGGCTTAGCTCAGTACAATATGTATTAGTAAAAAGGTAAAGTACATACAAATCAGTCACTAATCCTCTATGTCCATTTTATCATCATCAAAGTCCTTTTTGTCTGTCCCTAAGAGTGAACCACTCTGAAATGCATCTAAGCAGCTAGGTATCAAGCGATTAAAGCTACTTTGGCCTGTACTTCTTTCAGAGAAGGAAAGATCTTGTGCTGGGTATCTGGAAAACGGTAAATCAAAATCCAGCTGCCCTAAAGAACCTAAAGAATCTGGCTGTAGAAAGAAAGAATAAAAGAGAAAAGCTGATAAAAAAAATACCCAGTTCCAGTTTGTGAGAATAAATATGCGAGGAAATGAGAATAAATACCCAATAAAAGTCTGTGAGAGAGACATCTTCAGCTGGTTCCTGTTTGTAGCAAAAAGATGAATGATTTTCAGATTCTGGTTCATCACCGGTATTGGCATTTGGACGTCCAGACTCCTTAAGATCCAAAGTATTATAAGAGAGATGAGGGAAATGGTTCTTTTTGAGAAGTGAGAAAATTTGATAATAATTAGATAACTTGCCTTAACATTCATATTTGTTGTGTCTCTAGAAACCGCTTGTGAAATGGTGGCGCTCAGATTCAAGCCCTTTTCCCTGAGGGGCTGAGCTTTTTTGAAAGAAAACTCATCGCAGGTCTCTTCAGCATTCCAGATAGAAACAACTGGAGCCTGAGTTGACAGACCTGTAAACTGAGGAAAATAACTGTGGGCTGCAACTGCAGCATCAAATGAATCACAGCTAAAAGAGGTCTGCTGAATGCACAGAGCATTTTGCTGAGAAGAAACTTCTGATGCCTCCAACAATAGATCTCCAATGCTAATGTTCGTTAGACTATCAGCCCATTCCCCGGCTAAGAGATCTGAACTGCACCTTACTGCTGGATAAGCCTGCGCAATAGATGAATGCTTCATATAAAGGTGCAATGAATGCTTTGTATAAAATTTGTTGATTTTTCACTATCAGAATTTAGGAGCTACATACCATATCTTCTTGCTGGTTTCTAGAACCTTCTTCAGCTTTTTCTACAGTAAATGAAGAAGATTTTCCAGATGACTCAGGGCAGCCATCTTTCAGTTTGAGAGTATCAGTTTGACCTCTAATCTCAGCAACAGATGTTGCAGAGGGTAAAGGAGAACCTTTACAAGATCCTCTTAGCTTGGAGGTGCAACTGATAGGTGGACTGGTTTTTGATGTATCAGAAGTGACGAATCTTTTAGAAATATCTTCTAAGCGCGTACAGTCATCAGGACCAGGTGCTAAAGGTGAAATAGAAAATATTGCCGTAGGTTCAACACCAGAGAACCAACCATACCTTCATCCAAAAATTACAAAAGACTGACCTTCAGCACCTCAAAAAGAACTATTTCGACCCATCCATAATAAAAAAATTGCTAAAAAAAAAAAAAATACCTTAGTCGGAAAACAGAAGGATTGCCAATGGCAGCATGCACATCAGCTGCGGTGGAATCAGCATCTTTTATTGTCCATCTTTGGCACTTGGCTATGTCATCCTGTTGAATGTTGTACGGTAAAAGAAAGAGTTCCCTGGTATCTATGGTGTTTGTGCCCCATTTACGATTGAGATGCTCCAGTACTGATGATATTCTTTTCCGAGCACTTAAAGTAAGTTCCAAGAATGGATTATGTGCGCCCTATAAAGAGAAAAGGAAAAAAGAAAGGATCAATGACTGGCGGTAACAAATCTCTAAGCATAAAATCTAGGAATAAGCCATTTATGGAGAAAAAGCTTTCTTTTATAGATTATTAAAATCAGAATTAACGGACCCAATTCCATCTTGTTTAAGCATTTAAAAAGTTACTAAGGTTTCGTTTGGGATTACTTTCTTGTTGCTTCTTAAAGCAGCTTTCTAGTATAAAAATTTTATTTTTTTACTAAAAAACTGCTTTAAGAAGCAACAAAAGCCGTCCAAAACGAAGCTTAATTGTCCTAGAAAGAATGCCCAAAAAAAAACACTAGGCTTTGGAAAATTAATAGGCATGCCGGAATCCAAATCATTCAAATGTCATAAGCTTTATATTTCACTTGAATTTCGACAGACATGACATGAACAAGGAGATAATGCAGGTTCAGATAACCTTCTCGAGTATCTGTCGAGTATCCTCATCAATGGGAAACAGTTGGAGCTTCAACTTCTCCCGTGTCTGCAAGACTGTTTCTCCAATCCGATGAGAGCAAACTCCTGCTGCAAACAGGAAATAGTATGAAAATTATCCAACAGAAGATTACCCAAGAAGTTGCGAAAGTACAATTCTCACTGTTCGTAACACGCTCTAATTGCTCAGCCGCATCAGCAACCAAGGAAACACCAGCCATTGCAGCCTTTTCCCATCGCTTATATGCTGCAGATTCGACAAGACCTACATGACTAATAATTGTTAAAAAATTTGACTCTAATCAGTTAAAAAACATGCAAGAGCCAGTTTTCTATCAGTCCTACATTACTAGGGATAATCAAAACCGGAAAAGTTATCATTTTACCAATTGCAAGTATTAGCATGCTATCTATGATAATTTATCTGCATGGTTAGCGGACACAAAATCTTCACATGATGCACATGAACTAAAAATTAAAGCCTAAAAATTACCTGTTCTATGCCTTTGACCAGTAGCTTTTGTGGCAGAGAAACCCCCTTTACTGAAATTGACATTTGAGTTTGTATTACGCTTCAAGGAAGGCCCTCTGTTAATTCCTAATTTTGACGTATTTTGAGCATCTGCAACAGCAGTTTTTACACCGACAAAATCATGATCTGAAAACCTCCAAGATGCTGAAGATGTTTCTAAACAGTTTTCTCCTTGGCATGGGCGCTTTCTTCTGGCTTTATTTCGATCTTTAAGAAGTTGGCTCTCCTGTAACAAATTACTAAGTTCAATTATACTTTTTAAAGCGCATATCAAAGACAACCAAATCTCAACTTGGAGCCAGACCAAAGCTTCTATAAATATCTTGAATCTCCGAGGTTTGCGATGCAACTTTGAAGGAGTACAACTATATTTTTCAAGTAGGGACCACCTGTGAAGAAAGTATTGACATAATGACAGTTGTATGAGATTCAAAAAAGAAGGTACAAGAAAAAATTAAAGAAATTCTAAAGTTGATAAGAACAAAAAAAGATATTCATAGCACACTTAGGACATCTTTATTTAGATAGAATTGCTCAATATTTACAATTTGGATCCTCCACCTATTGGTTTGGATCATTCGCGATGATATGGTGGAGGTTGTTGTTGCTAGGGTTGTCTCCCAATGATGATGTTGTTTCTGATGCAAATCAAATTGTGGATGGAGGGCATTGTCTAGGTAATGCTCTGGGTAGGCTTAACATAGAAAGGTGTGATGTTAACAAGGTTGTTTTGATTAAGTCTTCAAGCGATTTGAATGCTATTAAGCTTAACATAGAGAAGTGCTATGGAGAGTTCTTGAAAAGAAAGGATTCAATAATGCTTATATTCAAGTCATTAAAGATATGTATGCATGAGCTATTACTTGTGTTCAAACACAAGGTGGTTTGACCAAGTATTTCCCTATTTCGGTTGGGTTACATCAAGGATCAGCCTTAAGCCCATATATTTTTGCTTTAGTCAATGGATGTTCTCACTAGACATTTGCAAGAGGATGTACCTTGGTGTATGCTTTTTGCTGATGATATTCTTCTTGTTGATAAGACTAGAGAGGGAGTTGAAGGTAAACTTGAATTATGGAGGTCAACCATAGAGTCTAAAGGTTTTCGCTTGAGTAGATCTAAAACGGAATATATGGAGTGTAATTTTAGTAGTAATAGACCTAGTGAAGGGATTGTGACTTTGGGCGATCAAGTCATTAATAAGAGTACACGTTTTAGATATCTTGGATCTATTGTTCAGAGTGATGGTGAAATAGATGGGGATATTATCAGCAGAATTCAAGTTGGATGGTTGAAGTGGAGGAATACATCGGGCTTGTTATGTGATAGAAATGTAACCCTCAAACTTAAGGGAAAATTCTATAAGATGGTAGTGAGGCCTGCAATGCTTTATGGTGCCGAATGTTGGCCATTAAAAGAGAAGCATAATACTAAGTTAAGTGTGGCAGAGATGAGGATGCTCAGGTGGATGAGTGGCTTTACCCTTAGAGATAGGATACGAAATGAGCATATACGTGAAAAGGTTGGAGTAGCTCCAGTAGAAGATAAGATTAGAGAGAGTCGCCTTAGATGGTTTGGACCATTTGGTCACATAAAAAGGCGGCCTTCCGATGATTCGGTTATGAGAGTAGATGTATTAGATTTGACTTGTGTTAAGAAAGGTAGGGGTAGACCTAAAAAGACTTGGTTAGAAAATATTAGGAATGACCTTTCTTTATTAGATTTAAGGACACAATGGAGAAAAAGGATTCATGTAGCCGACCCCACGTAGTGGGATAAAGGCTTGATGTTGTTGTTGTTGTTGTTGTTGTATTCCTGTCTCACCCGTGGCTTCTTTGGAAGTGTCGTTAACTCCTAATGTGAAGGTTTTTAAGGGAAATGAGCATGTTTTTGATGTTCCAATCTCAATTGTTTCTAATGCTAAATTGAAAGCTCAATTGGCTTTAACTTTGCATAATGTTGACTCATCGGAATGGTTGGAGGATTCCTTCTCCTTGGCATGCGGAGGTGCTGGGGGTGATTTAGTTGATGATGTGGATGAATTGCAAGAGATGTATGCTTTGCAGGTGGGACATATTGAGCATCAAGACTTCTCCCATGGAGGTGTGAAACGTCGTAAGAGAAAATCTAAGAAAAAGTCATGTTCAATTATGTTGGATCTCTTTTTCGGTTGTTGTGTTTTCTTGCCTATGGTTGGTGAGAATTTTGGTTTTGGTCATGATTTTGGTGTAATTTTCTTGTCAACTGTGAAAGATCCTGGACTATGATGACGCTGCTTTTTACATCCACCTTGTTGGCCTTTGCTTGCTGGCAATCTTGGTGGCTTTCCCTCTTTCTGTTCGGAGCCTTTACTTAGGTGGTGGGTTGCAGCTTGTTGGATAGCTTCTATTTGGTTTTTGACTTCTTGCCTCCAATAGATGGCCCTTGCTTGACTTGCGGATGCTTGTAGGAAGCTTCATGACACTTCCTGAGTCCAGCTGGCATCTTCGCCCCCTTCTCATGTGTTTTCGTGCATCATTGCAACATTTGTTGCACCTTTTTTTTTTAAGGTCGTTTTTCTTTTGGTGTAATTTTCTTGTAATTTTGTTTTTGTCTGTTGGAGCTTGGTTGTAACATTTTCTTTATGAATGAATTTGGCCTAGTCCCCTTCTATTACAAAAAAAAAACAAAGAGTTTTAGAGAATGAAAGACATTTAAATTATCCCTTGATAGGACAACTACACTTCTATTTTGGTGTTTCTGAGAATTATTCTATATCATTTAAGTACGCTATTAAAGAAGTACTGATATCCAATTAAGATCGAATTTAATCCTATTAAAGATGTTAATTTATGAAGCTTCTCATAATGGTGAGTCATATTCATAAAATGACTATAAATAGAGAATCATTTTGTTTTTAAAATAAACTTCTAGTCAAAATTTGAGTTTGTAATAAGATAAATAACAAAACTTATCTTAGAGTTCTCACCATAAACTACTCGTGTGCTTCAATTTAAAAGTGGGTTATAGTCAAAACCAAAATTTAAAAGTGTTTATTATATCATATATGAACATAACCTAAATTTAAATTTAAATCTATCCCTCACTTTAAATTAAAATAAATCATAATTGTTGAAGTTGTTAAATCATATGCAACAATAACAAGAACAAAAACAACAAGCCTTAAAAAATTACACACTAATGTTATACATATGATTATCAATCAAATCCATACCAATTACATTAGCATACCCATGATTTTAATCATTATAATTATCTTTAAGGGAACTTGGCAATTAGAACTCTATATGACTTGTTGATTTCACATGTAAATAATTCATTAAGTTTAATTTTTTAATTATTTAGATCATTTTTCTTTGAAGAGCTTTTTCATATTTCACATGTACATAATGTTCTTTAAGAGAACACTGTTATTGTCAGGTCCCAAGTTCTGGATGAGAAAAGTAGAGGGTGGCGTTAGGTAATCGACAACCAACATAAAACTTGTTAAATAATCATGATATAAATCTTTAATACATTTTGATCAAGTCATTAATAAGAGTACACATTTTTGATATCCCAGAGTGATGGTGAAATAGATAGGGATATTATTAGTAGAATTTAAGTTGGATGGTTGAAGTGGAAGAATGCATCAAGCTTATTGTAAGATAGAAAAGTCCCTGTCAAACTTAAGGAAAAATTCTATAACATGGTGGTTAGACCTACAATGCTTTATGGTGCAGAATGTTGGCCATTAAAAGAGAAGCATAATATTAAGTTAAGCGTTGCGGAGATGAGGATGCCTAGGTGGATGAGTGGCTTTAATCTTAGAAATAGAATACGAAATGAGCATATATGTGAAAATGTTAGAGTAGCTCCAGTGAAAGATAAGATTAGAGATAGTCATCTTAGATGGTTTGGTCACATAAAACTGCGGCCTTCCGATGACTCAGTTAGGAAAGTAAATGTATTAGATTTGACTTATGTTAAGAAAGGTAGAGGTAGACCTAAAAAGACTTTATTAGAAAATATTAGAAATGACTTTTTTATTAGATTTAAATGAGAATTTAACTTTTAACATGACACAATGGAGAAAAAAGATTCATGTAGTCGAGCCCATATAGTAGGAAAAAGGCTTGATTCAATACATAACACATTTTTCAAATATCCATATTAATCTTTTTTTTTTTCCTCAAGTTATTATTGTTAATGAAATTATATCTACTATCGATGGTACCATATGAAGTAGAGATATGGACCTACATGTGATGATTAAATATATCTCAAGAGAAATCTAATGGTTGCGTCCATATCTATTGGAAATAAAACAATTAAATCATTTTTGGGAGCCAAAAATTTCCAAGCCAAGGAAAATTGATGTGGTGGCTTTCCAACAGTTTCTTATTCTTGGGATTGTTCAATCTACTTATCCCTGCAACCATCATGTGGGTCCACTTTAGTGATTATTCTCATATTTTGTGACAAAATTTGGTTGGCGTATATCATAAATGTGAATGGTTTTACTGACCGGCAATTATTACGAGTGGATTCCATTACGTGCATGACTATAGCGACATAATAGTTGTTCTTTCGAGCATTTTAGCTTTGAATTCGATGCTCTAGGAAATTCTTTTGGTCCTTCAATTTCTCCTTTGGTCCTTCAATTTCTCCTTTGGTGGCATCTTCTTAGACTATGTCGCTTATACTATTTGATGCTTCATAAGATTTAAAAATAGGTATGTCAAGGCCGTAAAAAGGAGAATTATATGGATTGATAAAATTTGCTTTTAGATATATAAACCATTATCCTTTAGAGATTTTAGTTCTTGATCAAGTGTGAGACTTGGAAGTAATTTTATAAAAGCATTCTCATTCATATTGGTTACTTTTGCTTTACTTGTTTTCATTTCTCTTTGTTCTACTCTTCTTCCTTTTTATTGGTTGAAATTACTATAATTTTTATCAGATCTGCTTCAATCTAATTCTTTCTTCTCTCCATGAAATTTCAATCATTTGTGTGGCATTCATTGACCTTAATTGTTAATTTTAATTATAAGTCCAAAATCCTTTTTGCATGAATTGCTTTCCCACAAAAATAGCATATTTGTTTTATTTGTTGAACCTATTTAAATCAACATCACATGTTAAATTTGTATTAGAAATCCAACATCCTAGAATGTCCTACATCAAGTGGATCAAGAAACACGATATAAAACATGGTAATAATAAGGAATATAGGATATGATAATAAAAAAATGTGGAAATAGAAAATCTTGGAGAGAGTAGAATTTTGACAAATATGTCAAACTTGTATGTGCATGTATGCATATGCACATGTATAAGTAAGAACAAATAACCCACCAAAGCAAATTAGTGAACATATGTAAACATAACAAAACATAAACACCAATGTCTAAATTACAAAGATGTGCGTACAGTTTGCACAAATTAAATAGAAATGTTGATTGTAATTATAATATCAATAAGGAATATGCTATAGTCGGACCCCATTAGCATGATACTATTAGCTCTAAATTTTTTAAATTTTAAATATGGCATCATACTCATATTATTTCATGCAATGATCATTTTTTTTAGAAATTCCCACTTGGCTTATTTAACATTGTACCCCTAGAATATGAGGGTATCTAGACTAGAAGTATCATATACATAGATGATATCCCTTTGGCAGTATTCATACAACATAGGCCCACGAGCAGCAAAAAGTTGCAAAAGACCTATACCTATTACATTAGAAAAGAACTAGTTCCTAAATCCTCACAGAATAAGACATGAGATATCCAAAAGAACAACCATAGTTTCCTATATGCACATCAAGATTTCTACTACTGATTCAGAAAGCTCTTAACTTTGCAAGGATATCCTAAAGAAGATATAAGTTTAAATATAAAAAGATGATTGAACTAAATTGAGAAATGCAATTTAAACTTTAAATTTAGGTGAGGTGCCAAATTAGGATGGGAGAGAGATTTAGAGAACCAAGAAAGTTATCAATATTCTCTCCCTAGTTTTCTCCACCTATTTATATATGCTAGGCCCACCATTTAAGTGGAGATCTAAGGGAATATCCCTTTGATTTGAGGCAACTAGTCTTTATGAAGATACTTTAAAGGAGGAGAAAAAGAGTAATTCTCCTTGTTCTAATTTTTTCATGTAATTACAAATCACTACTTGGATAATAAATCAGCTTCAGCTTCATTCAAGAATTATTAACATTTGATCAATCAAAATAGGACAGCCCCATCAAAAGGTTAGACATCATATAAACAGGTTCTGCCAAAAAAATTAAGCAAATGGATTTTTTCTACAAATAGGATGGTCACATTAATGGACATCTATTTAGCATGGATTAGAATCAAATTTTAATTCTTAAGTACTAAGTATCAACAAAAAAAATCATTAGTAAAGTGTTATAATTATTTTTTAGTTACCATCATTCTATAATTGATTGAATTTGCAGGAAACAAATGGCATAGAAGGGGCAGTCATAATCTAGAAGGTTCTCGACAAAAAAAATCAAAGATATCCTCACAAGAGTAGAATGACAAACAGAATGCATTTTCAAATTTATATTTGAGTGGGGGGTTAGAAGAGAGATGCATGGAAAGAGAATCAAGAAATTACAAAATAATCACATTAAATAGACAAAATATTTAGCTAATATTAGAAATAATTTTAATTTTCATGTAATTAAGATCAACATCATTAGTAAAATGTTGACTTTATTTCTAAGTTACCATTATTCTATATAATTGATTGCATTTGTAGGAGCAAATGGCAGAAAAGGAGGAGCTATGATCCAACATGCTCCTGAGGAAACTTCATAAAGATACCCTCATAACGGTAGAATTGCAAATATGAAAAGAGATTTAATTTGCAAAATACAAGTTAAACGTTAAATTTAGGTGGGAGGTAAATTTAGAATAAACATATATATGTGAAGAGAATGAAGAAACCACTGAATATTCCATCATTAATTTTTTAGACATATCTCTACATGGTCGACTACCTTCTATAAAGAAATCCAAGAGAAAATATTCACTTAATTTAAATTATGATTATCTATCATTTAAACTATTGTTAAGATATATAGATTTCGGTTCCCAAATTTGTGCAATTAGTTTTAGACAGACATGGATATGTCTTTTATATTTTTATAAATAAAAAGATCTTGGGAAGAAAAATTCAAGGTTGAAGTAATTGAATGATTTTCCACAATCCTTTTCTTTCCCTCCAATCCTCAGCAAGGGAGGCCTACCCAAGCCCATATCTATTCTCTCAATGCTGTTGATTCCTTTTCTACCTACATTCAGGTAGATTACGGATGAACTAATTCCCTCAATTCCACCATAGAATATTTATCTTCTTAACTTATTAATATAAGAATTGCATGACCCTCATGCACCTCAATTCTAGATCAACTATACGTAGTGGATCATCTTTAAGCATGAAGATGTGTGAACCACAATTTGGGACTTATGGACTTAAAGAATCAACGCTGAACTTATTAAGTACCAAAAAATATAAGCAAGTTGTACTAAACATGGGAGACCAAATCAAATTTAAATCTAAGCAGTGATAAATACCTAGTATAATGGCAGCATCATCTTATCAAATCTTAGCAGTTGAAAAAAATCCATTAACGTATTGCAGCTTTTTATCAGTACATTACCATCGAAGCATTGCAGCATTTGTGTCCTTGGAGTTCTTTGCATCAAGACAAAATCCTGGACTCAGCAGCTTGTTCATGCGTCTAACTAGGCGATAGTAATAGTGTCTAACCTGCAAATTTAATTAATTAGAATCAAGTGCCAAACGTGCCTAAAGAAATTATTGTTATCATTGGCATTGTTGATATTTTCTTGCAAAGAAACACCAAGCAAAAACTACCATTTTTAGGATTTGATGTGATTAGTACTAAGAAAGGAGAGAATATATATATATATATATATATATATAACATCAGAGATCTAGATACTTAGATCAAGTTAGATGTGTTAAAAGCAATGATAATAGGACTTTAGTTAAAAATGACCATCAAGGAGAGGTGCAAATCATACCTTGAAAAATTATGAGCTTTATGGAAGAAATTATTTAAGAGCATAATGAACAATAATAAAGTATATTATGCATTGATTTAAAAATGTAAAATGAAGTTAGCTCTGAAGAAGATGCTTAAAGGTTAACCTTTATCTCCATATGAGATACCTATTGAGATTTGGAGAGTTATTACTTATTAGATTAGCAAATCTTTTAAATGAATTTTTTAGGACTAACGAGATGTCAAATGATCATCAAAAAATCATTTTGACGCCAATATTTAAGAATAAAACAGATACGTGAGGCTGTGTTAATTATACAAGAATCAAACTTATGAATTATTACAAACTACAGGAGAGTAATATAACTAGAAAAATTTCATTAGTTTAATAGAATGAAGCAATTTTTAAATTTAGACGATTAATGGAAAAATGTGGAGTGTACAGAAAGTATTTTCATATATTTTTATTGATCTAGACAAATCATATGATTGAGTACCATAAGAATTGATTTGTTGCACTAAAGAAGAAAGGTGTATGTCAAACTATGAAGCATGGAAAAGCCTTCTGTGTCAATTTTAGACCAACATGCCTTTGACACTCCTGACACTTGTCTAAGGCAATGAAACTTGTCTGGTGTGTTTTACTACAAAAGTAGAGTCAAACACGACTAGGTCACGCGTTAATGCGGAGGTGTTCCTTGTTCAATAAATTTTTTATTCAGGCTAGGTGATCAATAGGTGTCCAAGTGTTAAATTTATTGGCTTGAATTAGTGATAAATTAATGTGTTCATATTTTGTGTGATTATTTCATAGGTTATAAAACTTCTCTTTGTTTTCTAGTTTTTTTTTTTTTCTTTCATTGCGGTATTTAAAATCAATCATGATGATGAATGCTAATATTGATGTATCATTCCGGATTAATTAAGCTTGATAAAATATTGAAATGTAATTATAATTAAGGCAATATTAATTTTTTCATAGTTGATAATTAAGCTTCTTATGTGATACATATACAATTATAGTTCACTGAGTAACACTTTTTGATAGAAAAAATTAACATCATATGTTTTGGTTATGCATTTTTATTTTATAATTAATTAACCAAATTATTCTATCAATGGCATTTAGTATCTTACTTTTAACGATTATATCATGTACCTCTAATCTTGTTATGTCATGTTCATGTCTCGCGTTGGAGTCTAATGTGCAATAATACAAAAATTAAAGTGGAATTTGGCAAAGACAAACAAACAGTTGCAAGGGGGTCCTTATTAAATAAATTTTTTATCAGTGTGAGAAATTAATGAGTGTCTTCATGTCAAATTTAAATGGTTCGATTAGCAATATATCAATGTGTTCATATTTTCTATGATTATTTTGGATTTTTTTTTAATATTCCTTTGGGGTAACATAAATTAAAATCACCCCTAATATTGAATCAAAATAACTTCAATTTTTCTTAAGTTGATCTTAATTTTAAGAGATACTTTTTTTTTTAAGAGATACATATGATATTATACTTGATTATATATTTTTATTAATAATTTATAAAAAAAAAATATTAAGTGAACGATGCTTCATATCCTACTTTTTATAGTTATGTTATCACCTTTTGTTTCATTTTTGTGCTTTGTAGGTATCAAAGGTATGTTTGAGTTATTAAATATATGAATAATATTGCACTGTTAGTATTAAATGTAGTTGTGGAGTGACCAATGAACTTCCAACACAAAAGGAATACATCAAAGATAACCATTCAATCTATACATTTTTATATTTATTATGGAGATTCTTGTAAAAGATATTTAAAGTAAAGTGAATTGGTATTGCAATTGTTATTTCTAATTATTGAGAAAACTACTGATATAAATATTAGTTAGAACAATGGATAAAATGATTAGAAGATTGCGGGCTTAGAAATAGTAGAAAAATGCTAAGTATATTATTTGAAATTGTAATGGATGTGATAATAAATTAATAATTATTAATCAACATTATTAAAAGATATAATAATACCAATGTGTGGAAGGTTTAAGTATTTTAGATCTATTATATTGAACAATAGAGATATAAATGAGCATATAATCTATAGAACTAAAGTGATCAAAATATACAAATGCCTCAAGAGTATTATAAAATAAGAGGATATTAAGAAGAATTAAAAGGATTTTTTTAAAAAAATTGTATTTAAGCCTAAAAATGTATGTTTTAAGTTTTCCAATAAGATGGTCACAAATAGCTAATTTAAGAGTAGAGTAAATGGGAATGTTAATAGGCATGCATGAAAAAAATAAGAAGGATAAATTAAAGAATTTTTATATTAGAAGAATAGTTTGAATGGTGACTATTGACAACAAGATAATCAAAAATAAACTTAGATGAATTGGACATGTATAACAAATAGTAGAAATGCACTATTAGACATGTTAGATTAAATTGGTGTATAAGGATTAGGAAGTAGAAGAGCTGCACCTAAGGTAACATGGTTAGAAGATGTTCAAAATTACTCAAAGAATAGAGTTACAAAATAACAAGTATGAATGAAGAATAAGGATTCACAAAGTCAACTCAAATTATTGGTAAAAGACTAATAATAAGAATGATGATAATATCAATAGATATGGTTAACATTTAGCACTTTTCAATAGTTTACAAACAACATATAACATGAAATATGAATCCATCATGCATGCTAACACCATGTTATACAGAAGATCTAGAAAAAATAACATCTTGTTTTACATTATATAAAGGATAAGAAAACACAACAAACTTATGTTTGAATTCACATAACAAACAGAACTGTATAAAATGAATCTTCAATAACTTGCTTTGGTTGATCGGCCCAGTTAATGGTCTCTAGAGGAGAGCTTCAGGATCAAGCAGCACAACACAGAATTAATCAAGCTTTTGTTGTGTGTAAAAAAGCATGAGCACCTTTTTATTAATTTGAGCTACAATCTTCTTCTTAGAAAATCGAATCCATTTAACCCAAATAAATGCTATTTAGAATTATGTGGAATTCACCTGGCATTTAACCTTATCGGAGGTGAGCTTTATTAGTTCAAAATTAATTATGAGTAAGTTTTATGAATTCTTCACAATAATTACTTAGTTTACCATACATCTAAAAGTAAATTTGCATTTCATCGCATTTGATTTGTTTCACAGAATAAAGATAATTGTATTTAAAAAATATAATGAACTGTATAAAGATAATCTAAATTTTATGACAAAGCAAGATTGATGCAACAACAAATATTAACAAGAGATCAAATTCAGAAGGGATGCAAAAAAGGACACGTGAGTTTATATGTTGAACCATGGAAAATAACTTAGAAAGTAAAGATAAAAATAATATAAACCAACTAGATCATAAAATAAACACTTGAAATTCAGCAAATCCAATTAATAAAAAATATATACCTGGTTTTTATTCTTGCTCTGCACACGACACGTTATCTTCTCAAAATTCTGCCATATAGATCAGCTGTTAGCATATATTAAACATGGTAACTGGTATCATGCCATAGATGAATAAGACATAACCTTGCCAACTTGCCGTAATGCACTGAAAAAGTTTTCCTGTTCTTGACGCGTCCAAGCAGCCCATTGTCGGGTTCTTTTCTGCCCTACAAGTATCAAATAATAGCTAAAAATGCTGATGGGTGATTTAAGCATTGTTTCAGATTATTTCACAATTTCCATCCTATTAAGTTGAAGGACAACAAGAATTGAATGGAAAATGTACCAGGTTTTTGAGTGCTTATAGCCACTGAAGTAGACGAAGGAAATTTATAATCTCCATCATTCAGCAGTGAGCTTTCTGTTGATGGTAAATGAATTTCCAAAGCCATTTGAGGTTGTGGATGCATCATGAAGATGTTCCAGTACTTCTAAAAAGTCATGTTCTCTCTCATGTTTAATATCAGATACCTTCTCTAAAAGAGAAGAGTGCTCAGAAAATGCAACCTAGGAGGAAAACACAACAAAAGCAATATAAGCAAATGGAGAAATAACAAGTGCAAATAAAACCAGTCGCTCTTAAGACTAGTAAAAATTAGAGTCATCTCTGTAAAGCCACAATTTGCACATATGCATGCATCCAAAGGGACATTCCACAATCTAAATTCTTAAACAGAGCATAGATTACGAGAGCTCATTGCACAGCGCACTCCATCATCCAGTCTTAGCAACCAATAAAGCAAGGCCTTACCTCAAATAGTTATGATAGGATTTGATGACTAAAACAACACACAACAATATAAAAAATAACAAACTTACTCCAAATAGATCCAGAAATAACACCAAGGGTCTGTAATTACTAATCTCCAAGTATAGAAATACAATATACAAGTTGATCCACTATTCGAGAGTTGAATCGTCTCTTCCACAATTCCTAGCAGCAACTAGGAACCCAAAACAGCCAACAAAACTACTCTAGAAATTTCTTCACATAATCCCCCCCCTCATACAAACTTTCACCCATAAAACCAAACCTAATCCCACCATAAATGCGCCTCATATTTCCTCCGATGATCTCCCCTTAATCCTTCTCCTCCTATAGGTCTGAAATGAGATGCTGAGACCCACAAAACAAGAGCCTTTTGGCTCTTGGAATTCCGCTGAGCAGGTGGGGTCCATAGCCACATCATATTAATTTCCAAAAACATATTCATGGTAATTAAACACATTGAACGCACAAATCCCATCAACTATACTATAAAACAAACAACAACAACATCATCATCAAGCCTTTATCCCACTATGTGGGGTCAGCTACATGAATTCTTTTTCTCCATTGTTTCCTACTAAGAGTCAAATTCTCATTTGCATATATTAAAAAAATATCATTTCTAATATTTTCTAAGCCTTTTTTAAGCCTACCTCTACCTCTCTTAACATAGGACAAATCTAATAAATCTACTCTCCTAACTAAGTCATCAGAAGGCCGATGCTTTATTTGACCAAATCATATAAGACAAATCTCTCTAATCTTATATGCCATCGGAGCTACTCCAACCTTTTCATATATATGATCATTTTGCATTCTATCTCTAAGAGTAAAGTCACTCATCCACCTGAGCATCCACATCCCTACAACACTTAACTTAATTGTATGCTTCTCTTATAATGGTCAATATTTTGCACCATAAAGCATTATAGGTCTCTCCAACATCTTATAAAATTTTCCCTTAAGTTTAAGGGGTACCTTTCTATCACGCAACAAGCCTGATGCATTCCTCCACTTCAACTATGCAACTTGAATTATACTAATAATATCCCCATTTATTTCATCATCACTCTGGATAATAGACCTGAGATATCTAAAAAGTGTACTCTTATTAATGACTTGGTCACCCAAAGTCACAATCCCTCTATTAGATATATTACTGCTAAAATTACACTCCATATATTCAGCTTTAGATCAACTCAAAAAAAAAAAAAAAAACTTTAGACTCTAAGGTTGACCTCCATAATTCAAGTATGCCTTCAACTCCCTCTTTAATCTTATTAACAAGAAAATTATCATCAGCAAAAAGCATACAACAAGGTACATCCTCCTGCAAATATCTAGTAAGAACATCCATGACTAAAGCAAAAAGATATAGGCTTCAAGCTGATTTTTCATGTAATCCAACTGAAATAGGAAAATACTTGGTCCAACCTCCTTGTGGTTGAACACAACTAATAGCTCCTACATACATATCCTCAATGACTTGAGTCCCCTTTCTTTTTTAAAACTCTCTATATCACTTCTATTGGAACTTTATCATAAATTGTCTCTAAATTAATAAATACCATATATAGATCCTCCTTATTCTCCAAATACTTCTCCCTCAAATCTCTCAATAAATGTATAGCTTCCATAGTAGACCTACCTGGCATGAATCCATATAAATTTTGAGAAACAGTAGTCATCACGTCGTAATATATGATCAATAACTCTCTCCAAAAATTGTAAAGTATGACACATTAACTTAATTCTTCTATAATTTGCACACTCTTGTGCATCATCTTTATTTAAAAAAAAAAAGAGAATCAACACTTCTCCACTCACCTAACATTTTTTCGGTCTTCAAAAAATTGAAAAGTTTCGTAAGTTAAGAAATTCCTTCATCTCCTAAGCATTTTCACACCTCTATTAGTCTATTGAAATATCATCATGTCCAACAGCTTTTCAATATTTTATTTTCTTTAAAGCCTCTCTTACTTCGGTTTTATTAATATGTCGATAAAAATAAAAATCTCTACATTCATTTATGATGCTAAGGTCACTAAAGTCAATCGTATTCTCACAATCTTTATTGAAAAGCTTATCAAAATATCTCATCCATCGTTGTTGAAAATCCTCTTCTAATAAAAACACTTTCTGATATATATCTTTAATCCACTTCACTTGAAATAAATCATTACTTCTCATATATCTTTGTTTGGCTAATTTATACATACATCTTTCGCACTGCGTAGTATCTAATCAATTATATAAATCATTAAAAGCTAGATAAATTCTTTGCATCACATATTATTTTTTAGACTCCTTACAGGTCTCTTTATATCTTTCTCAACTTTTTGATTTTTTACATCTAAATCAAATTTTATAACAAAATGTCTTATTTTTAATCTTTTCTTGGACATTTTAATTCCACCACCAACTATTTTTATTATTAGAGTTTTTCTTTTTTATAATTCAAACACATCCTTTGCAATATTCTTAATAGTATTAGCTATTTTTTCCCATAAAACATAGGTTCCTCACTTACAGTCAGAATCTTAAAATCATGAATTTTACTCTCACAAATATTTTTATTAGTGTTACTTAAATGCCCCCATCTAATCCTAGGAAATTATTTTATTTTATTTTTAATATTTCACCCCTTCATCTTAAAGTCAAAAACTAATAAGCGATGTTGGGTACATAAACTTTCACTCATAATAACTTTATAAGGAAAGGTACTCTTTCTCACAAAGAAAACAGCAAGCAACAAGGGAAAGTTAAGAAGATGAAAAACCCACAAACACCTTTTTATTGAAAGCTTATACGAAGAAAAACAAGATAAAATATAATTCCAAATTGGAGGAGGATCTGGCTCTCCCAAATCCCTAGCCGATGGCTAGAGCCCAAAAACTTTAAGCAAAAACTTCCCTCACCGCAAGAAAACAAAAATTGAGATGAAAAAACAAACCCTAGGAGTAATTCCCTCTTAAGCAAATAGTAATCCCCTCTAATTCCCAAACAGACCCTTCTATTTAAAATTTCCCTCCTAAACCCCACTTTAATTCCCCTAATTAAACTTGTGGACCCCATTATCATGGGGCGGCATCGAAGGAGACGTCATTGATGGGGGCAAAAGTTCCCCTATTTCACCACATGTAAACCTGGACCGATCCTGGTTGAATCGACTTGACCGATCCAGGGACCGATCTATCACTTTATAATTTTTATAATATAAACAATATATTTTCTTATAAGAAAAAAAATCATTCTAAGTTTTACTATATCCATTATTATAAGTGATAAAATGCTCATCTCTCTTCTTAAATAAGATATTAGCAATTATAAAATTATAAGCGAGAGAAAAATCTAATATAATTCTACCATCTTTATTAGTCGCTTCAAATCCATAACCATCATAAATATTTTTAAAATATTATACCTCTCAACCAATATATCTATTTAAATCTCCTCCAATAAAAATACTTTCCTCAAAATGTATATTTTATATTAATTATTTTAAGTCATTCTAAAATTTTAATTTTGAACACAGTCAAACCTACTTGAGGAACATAAGCACTTATGATATTAATAATATTAGCATTAACAACAAACTTTAAATCTATAATTATATCTACAATTCTATTAATTTCCACTACATTGTCTTTCAAACTCTTATCTATAATCACATCTACCCCATTTCTAGTACAAATCCAACCCGAATATCATAATTTTAACCCTAAACTATCAATCTCCTTAGCCTTCTCTTCAACCAATTTAGTTTCTTAAATGCGTAGAATATTTATCTTTCTATTAATCATAATATCTATTAATTTGCTTGTAAGAGAACCAATATTCCAAATTCCTATCATAATTATAGTTTCATGGACTGACTTCTTTGCCCATATCCATCTGTGATGTGGGAACACTTGCTTATTTAATACTGTACACGGTCGCCGGTGGAACGACACTTACACACTTCTCACTATATCTAGGCTATATAGCTCATCGTTTCTAGAAAATGCCCTAGCATTAACACAATGTATTATAGAATTCATGTCATGATTATTCAACAAGTTTTACGCTGGTTATCAACTACCTAACGTAACCCTTAATTTTTCTCATCAAGAACTTGGGACTTGTCAACGGCAATGTTAACTAAACTATTAAAATAAAAAAATAAAATACGATACAAAGATCCTTAAGGAACTTCGTGTATGGATGACTTATTTGCACACCATCTACGAGTACTCATCTCAAGCCACCCTCACCTAAAGGGAAGGACCTAGCATGATTATAACAAAATATGGTATCTTGCTACTTAAATTCAGTAATCAACTTCTGCTTGGATAAATAAATCCATCTTAACTTCCTTAACGTCATCTTTCCTTTACCAACCCATGTCTTACAGGTAGTCTCATATGCCTGAAAATTTTCTATAAATGATCAGAATTCCTTGATGCACAGAGTAGGGAACTTGGAATGCTTGCTAAATGGCATGCAACCAAGTCACACAGCTGAAAGTTTCTTGTCAACACCGCTAAACATTTTTTTTCATTGGCATGATAATGCTTAACCTTAAACAATTACGCAATTTGTCTATTCATTTTTTAGACTATTAACATCTGTATATAGAATCTTAAATATATATCTATTCACATGGAAATGCCTCGTCTTTAGATATTCCATTGTGTTTTTTAATGAACTTATCTCTACTAATCAAACTGAAACTTTACTAACAAATACATAAAGCCTTCTAGAGAGTAAAATTGCATCACTATTTCCATGAATTTACTAATAACAAATACCATAAAAAAAAACACTGAATTCCAAAGTTTGGTTTAATATGAAAGTGTGCAAATTATTAATATTTAAGCAATTTATGATAGCTTTTTTTAAGGCGGTTATTCATCTACATAGACATTTTATATTTGTGTGGCTTAAAGGTTTTCAATTTTTTTTTATTATCTCATCATATAAGATTAAATTATAAATCATTATTAATATCCCTTAGGACCCATATTGGCATTCTAATATTTTCACTACTTTTTGCATATCATTTGCATTATTTTCATAATTTATCTAGTTTGCATAAAGAGATCCATAGAAAGCTAATTGTTGACAATGAAAATTATAAGTTTGATGTTGATGTAAATAAGAGACTTGTAGAATTCAAATTAAATGATAAAGTAATGGTGTATTAGAATCCTAAAAGGCTTCCTACTAGGGCTTTCAAGAAATTAGCTGCCATTGGGACATAAATTTTTTCAACACATTAGAATAAATGCTTATGAATTAAAAAATCTAGGAAGTTTCAGTAGTTCTCCAAACTTCAATGTTTTTAATTTTATTTTATTTCATTAACTTATTGCTAGGAATATGAATTCCTCTCTTTCCATCCCTCAATCCCTTATAGTGAATCCACTCCTAACATCTACAAATCTACTTTTTTTTTTTAAAGGAAATAAACTCATATGTAGAGATTACATCTACTGATGTCTACTGTTAATGGGTCTTGTAAGTTTCTTGAGGTATGAGATGATATATTTAATTGTGATGATTCAAATGTTCAATTTCTACAATCATGATAGAATGATACAAATTTGAAAGTCTGAGTTCAATGGAAATGCAATTCATACATATTCATATTGTTTTATTTCTTAGTTTTGTTTCCTACTTCCTTTTGGTGTAAAGCATGCCCATTCCTATGAGAATGGTATGTATTCATTATTATTTTGAATATCTTGTTGGGATTAGATCATTGATGCAAGGTTTCGCCGCAGCTCATTGCATCCCTAATTCAGTTATTTCTCATTCTCAATTTTAACAAATATCCAGTTCTCTCTTTTGAGGTTAATTCGGGTGTTGCTTTACTGCTCAGTTGTTTAGCAATTGTTATTGAGGATCGTTGCTCTTGCTAGATATCTCCTTCTATGATTATTGCCTGTCTATTGTTTCTTCTCCAGTTTGTAATTTCCAATGATTGTAGCCATACGTGAATTTTTTTCCCTAATGCTTTGGACGATTTGGTATTGTAGCGATAGTCAACTATGTGTTTCCCGCTTTTTTCTTGGTATTTGTTGTAGATGAAAGTTGTTATGAGATTTATGGGTTGATTGGCTTGCAGTTTTCTCCCATACAGTGACTTAGGCTTCGTTTGGGACGGCTTTCTTTTTGCTTAAATTTTTTATACTAGGAAGCTGCTTTAAGAATCAACAAGAAAGCTGTCCCAAACGAAGCCTTAATTGGCTTGCAAATTTCTCTTATGCCGTGACTTGATTGGCTTCTAGTTTCTTCTGCATTGTGACTTGCTAGTTGCATCCAATCCTTGTTGCTATGTGTAGATTAAATTGGGAAGTTATTTATACTTGTTGATTGGAATAAGAATTTCTAAAACAAAAACTTACTTTACATGTTGTTATTCATGGTTTATTAAATTAGATCTTGATAAGTTGTAAGAAGTTTCATTTTAGGCTATAAATAGGACCACAAGGCATGTGAAATAGATTGTATATTAAGTATTGAAATAAAACTACATTTTTCCTCTATTATTGTGTGTATGCTTATTGAATGTGTATTTTTCTAGTGCTTTATAGGCTTGGATAACTACTTCCATGGGTGAGTCACCTTGCACCAATTCAAGATTGGTTCTACCTTCGAGTGATTCTTATCCATGTTCTTGTTTCAATTTATTTAGCTCATGGTTTTGTGTATGTGAATGAAATTTTTCTAAGTGTGATATGTGTTAGATTTTCTTTTTGAAGTGTGAACTTTAACATTGGTAAAATTTGATTTCATCACTATTTTCAATTGAATTTCAAATTTTTGGAGGCATTAAACTATTCTTTGAAATCAAAGGAGTTTGTTTATTATTTATACGTAAAATGCAAATTCTTTTTTTTGCTAAATTTACTAAGTTGATAAATTGGATTGTCATATTTTTGTATTTTCATTATGCAACTCATTTTAAATTGCATTAGTTATCTAAACCCTTAGGGCTGTTTGGTATCGGATTTACAGCGGGATTTAAATCGGATTTATGCTAAATCAAGCCAAACGATTTTTGTGCGCGCGTTAAATCCCGACGATGGATAAATCCCGGATTTAAGGATTTACGGCTTAAATCCCGGATTTATTAAATCCCTCGGTTCGACGGATTTATGAGATTTGGCCGAAGAAGCGCAAGAAAGGTGGAAAGTTACCTTCACAGCAAGCGAGCTCCCATTGTTGCTTCCGATCAAAATGTCGTAACTTCCGATCCGACAGGTAGGGAAAGTCGTCGAAGGAGCGAAGTCGAAAAGTCACTAAGGAGCGACGCATGCAATCTCTACACCTCCTGCGAATCAACGAAGCCGAACAAGAAGGACGAAAAGAGAAGATGAAAGACAAACCCTAGAGGCCTCTAAGTTATTATTGATTATCTTAATTAATATATTTTAAAATATTAATAAATAAGTAAATTAATTAAATAATTAAAAGTATAATTAGTTCATAAATTTATTTTCTAATTTAACTTAATTAAATAATTAGTAATATTGCATCATGGAATATCCGTGAGGATAGAGAAATATATAGTTGAACGTCCTAATATTATACGAAGATACATCATACAAGCAGATGAAAGAGATAGTGTAGCGTTAATAAGAGACACCAGAGTTTTTACATGGAAACCTCTTAAAATGGGGAAAAAATCATGGGGTCTGGCCCAGTGCGAATGAATCCACTAGTATTTGTAGTTGATTACAAATAAGACCCTTCCTTGGGGAAGGCCTTGGCTTGATGTCACAAATGTACATCATATAGAGCGCATTACATGGTGGAGTTACAATAATCAACATAGACATATTCATTTTGTCGGCAGAATCATAGTCGATAAGATAAATGTCGGAAAGATCGTAATAGGCGACGGAGGTCGGAAGGATCGTAGTCGGGAGGAGACAAGAGTTAGAAAGATTGTTGTCTGGTGAGGGAGGTCGGAAGAACTGTAGTAGGTGACGGAGGTCAGAAAGTTCATAGTCGGTAGGAGACAGTATTCAAAAAGACTATTGTCTGGTAATGGAGGTTGGAAGGACCGTAGTCAGTAGAAGATTGTGGTCAGAAAGATTATAGTAATAGGGCGGTACTCCGATAGAACTTTGGGCCTCAAGGGGTGGTTCGGTAGAAGTCTAGGCCTCAGGTGGTGGTCCAATAGAATTTTGGGCCTCACGTGGTGGTCCGGAAGAAGCTCGGGCCTCAGGTGGTGGTCAGGGAGAAGTTCGGGCCTCAGGTGGTGGTACGGTAGAAGTTGGGGCGTTAAGTGGTGCCCCGGTAGAAGTCCGGGCCTCAAGTGGTGGTCCGATAGAAGTATGGGTGTCAAGTGAAGGTCTGACGGAACTCAGGGCCTCAAGTGGTGGTCTAGTGGAGCTCAGGGCCTCAAGTGGTGGTCTGGTGGAGCTCAGGGCTTCAAGTGGTGGTTCGGCGGAACTCCAGGAGGTGGTCGAGGAGGAGCGAGGAGGCAAGAGCGGTCTCCAATCTCTCTCTTGCTTTGAGCCCCCTTTCAAGTGGGAGGAGAGTCTATTAATAGATTTTCTAGAGTGGCATGACCCATAAATAGGAGGAATATCAAGGGTAAATGGGGAGTGGTTTGGATGGACGGGCGATGTTGAATCCCTTGATCGTGGACTGTTTGTCAGACATTTGAAGATCTTAATGATGTTGGAATTCTGAGATCTTGGATTTGTCTCGTCGAGCTGCTCGATTCGTTTATAAGCATGTAACGTCTAGAAACCGATTGGTAATCCAAATTGTGGTTTAAACCTTCTAATACCGCTTCGGACCCTTGATTTGGACCTATTTGGGCTCAGATTAGGTTGAATTTAGTGTCGTTGAGTTCATATTTCTAAGACATTCAGTTTGACTATAAGTTTGCTAAAATCAGAGTTCGGATGGTCCTAATTTTAATTTCGGAAGTTCCAACTTGCTTTTTCCTCGAGATTCGTGCCAGATTAAGATAATTTTTTGAAGATGTATCAATTAATATAATAAGTAATTAAATATTAATATAATTAGTTTAATTAATATAACTTGAAATATGTATTATTAAATATATAATTAGTAATATAAATAATAATTAATGAGTAATTTGTACTTAACATATTATTAAATTCATAACACATTAATTTTTTTAATTATAAATTTATATTTTAATTTTTAATTTTCTTCTTCACATTTAAATCCCTAACTATCATAAATCTTGAAATATATTACCAAACAGTTTCTTAGAATTTAACAGAATTTAACATTTGTCATACCAAATAGTTTTAAGGATTTAATTATACCCTCAGGATTTACTAAAATTGGATTTACAGGATTACTAAATCCTACTAAAGTTAAATCTCACTTGTTGTCAAACATCCGCTTAACCATCTAACATCACTTGTGCTCTCTATTGATTCTAAATTCATTCCAAATTACTAGAATTTCTCTGAACACCTTCATAATTATTATTCATTTTAATACTTAATGCTCAAGAATTAAAATTAACATTTTATCATATGTATCTAAATCCATAAAAATTATCATTTTATGCAAAGCTAGTGGGTATTGAGGTAGCTAACCATTAATTATCTGCAAATCTCTTTTCTCTAGTCTTAAACATATGCGCAATCATTGGGTAGTCATATCTCCATGAGTGATAACATTGCAATGGAAGTATGATATTCTATCATCCAACAACTTTATAGTAATATTTCATTACATATAATTGGTTGTTCTAGTTCTAAGAGAAACCAAAAAGGTGATTAATTATGAATACTTAAGGTATAGAATCTTGCTGACCTTTCTATTTTAGTACAACAGGCCAAAAACTAGTACAATATTAAGTATAATTAGAGAATTAGTAATGTCTCTTCATTCTCCTTCACTCTCTAAAATATGTTATGTCCTCGTCAACTATATTCAAATTATAGTGCAACAAAAATGTTTGTATTCATTATAGGCCTTCAGATCTAATAGATCTCCTACCTTTTTATCCATTATCCTGCAATTGATTGGAGTTTAGCAATCAGGATTGAGCATCCATTAGCCCTTTCAAAATCCAAAATCAGCAAAAGTATATTATTAGTTCAATTATGAAAGTAAGGCTTCATAATGGTAATGTATGTACCAATAATATTCGACATCCAATCAACTAAAATATAATTGTATTCTCTGTGGAATGATTTAAGATAGTAAAACTTGCATTTGTTCTAACAAGATGTTCATATACCACATAGAAAATGATTCAAACTTAGAAAATGTGCAGACAAATATAATGCAAATGAACATAATGTGATTGAGCCAATGCTTGAAATCCAATATCACATAGAAGGGTCCATATCAAATTGAAAAGAAAGAATGAAACTGCATAGTAAACCTCATGTAAATACTATGCATATAACTACGCCAAACGATAATCATGGAGAAGAAAAGTATATTCAAGTATTACTGAAGAAAATTTCAAAATTCAATAGAAAAATCTAACAACAAAAGCAAAGCAGAATTTTTTCAATATTTCAAACCTCTTATTTTTCTTCCCCCAGGATATTTCGGGTGAAAGACCCAACTTTCTAAGCTACCAAACGCCGGAGTGAAACATGCATAACCAACGGATTGCTTGCTGGTGAAAAGTTCCTGCTGTTGTGAACACAAATTACTCATGGTTTCCTATATTTTTGATGATCTACGAGGAGATATAGATTTTCAGATTTTAGAAGGGGTAGCAAAGAAAAAAGTGCAATGATTAGGGCATCGACCATAACCCTTGGGATGCCAAAGCACTCAATCAAAAATCAAACCCTTACAATCAAAGTAATACCTAATGTGGAATGTTATTCCACAATAGTATCCAATCGTAATTGAAACTTGGAAATTTTTGTTTCTTTAAAGTCTTAGATTCTCAAGTAATACTTTGTTTTAAATTTATTATTCATCTTTTATAAATAAAAATAGCACATCATGGTGGATCATCTATAGTTCTTGATTACTAAATAGATATAGTTGAAGGATCTTAATTGTTAGATTCATTTCGGATGGTTGCATTGAGATTTAATTTTGATAGTTTTCAAATTTATTTTTGAGTTTGAATGGATGGGATCCTAAGCTAAAAAATTGGCTAGAACAAGTAGAATTATTTAGGTGCACATCTATAATAATTAGAGTAATTATAGAGAATCCATATTCATATCATATAATTATACATGTAAAAGCGGAATTTGTTACAACTAAAAAAGCATGCATCACGATCGATGTCATATACATTAAAGATCCCTATGGGTGATTGAGTTAATCAAGCAAGGTTGGCCATGGGGCATAATGAATAAAGTGATATTGGACTTAGTAAGATAAAACAAACCTAGAAAGGACATTATTGGCTCAAAGAACCTAGGTAGGTTAGACACTCCTTAGTTTGTTAAGGTTATATAAGATCAAAAACAGAATGAAAACTTTTATAGTAATGGTCACCCATATCATTAGTTTTGCGAGCTCTTAAAATAATCATGCAAGGTGACGATACATTTAGAAAAATCTTGGATAAATTTTGTTAGCTCTTTCTTCCACAAAAAGGATGAATTGTCTCCCTATCCATTTAATACATGTAAGATTGATATGAGTTAGATTCTCATATAGTCATAAGAGAGAGCCTACTTCTAAGTAGGTGGCCATATTGAAACATGATTATAAATATTATGTAACTCGTCTTACAAAGGGTTCATATCTTGCATCTTTGCTATCTAGAGAGCCTCTTCTTCTAGAGGGTGAGCCTCTTCTTCTAGAGGGTTAATATTAAACACACCCCTATTAAGGACCAATGTTGAATTATGTTGAGTTTGATTCATATTTAAGCATGCCCTTACTAACATGTTTGTTTAATTATAAATGATAAACAAAAAGAAGATATACTCCCCCAAAATATATCTCTTATGTTGAATGATGCTTTTAAGAGTCAACCTTATAATGCCTCCTTGTAGAAGCATCCTCATAATAAGGATCTTCCTTTATATAAAACAAAGTAAAATAAAATAAAATAAATCTTTAAAATGAGTATTAACATATTGTGTTCTTCATTAAGACATGATGGGTGGATAAAAAAAGCAAAAATAGCGCAAAAAAAATTGTTAGAAAGCTCATCTTCTAACCATCTCTAATATGCAATATAAGTGTCAACTTTATTTCATTAGATAAGGGAAGTATTACAAAAAATTCATATCATACATTGATTTGGACCATAAGATTTAGGGAAGATCTAAAATATCACCTTATTTATGTAACACCACAATATCTAAATTTGAAAGAATTATCAAGTTTTATCTCTTAATTAATTTTTCAGATTACTAAATTTCTATCATTTTAAATAAATCCAACAAAAGCAACTATAAACCATATACATCAAAATATTTATATATTCATTCAAACTACAATTTACAATAGCCAATAGATTTCTAGAATATCACTATCATTTTTAAAGCTCCTGACTACAAAAGAATAGAATAAAAAAAAAAGAAATTAAAAAACCCCTAAAGAATACTAGTCAATCTTACTGGAGAGGATCTTGACCCCTTCAAATACTTGAAATTAATAAAAATAATATAACGAGCTTAAAAAACCTAACATATTACAAAAACCCTATCACTGTACTTAATACAAGAAAAAAAAATCTATATATATGCTCCAATTTCAATCAATATCAATAAATAAATTATCAGTATAATAAATGATAAATAATATATATAATTAATATCATTCAATAACAAAAATTAATATGCTCAGTAAAATAATAGCATCTCACTGAGTAAAAATGCTTATCAATATATAAGAAAATTGATAAAAAGTCTATAAATATATAACATATGCTGTAATAAAATAAATCTCAATTGTCTATGAGTTATATTCATGGTGATGATTCTATTACATGTTTTTACCAATCATTATGCCATGTATATCTATTTGTTAATATATCATATATATCAATATGCTATATCAATATATTTATCAATACATTATACTTGTATAACTATTAATGTCTAACATTATACATAGTATATGTTATGTTATGTTATATCAGTCTCAATGCTTCTATCAGTCTCAATGTTTCTATCAGTCCTATATATAGTATCATATAAATGTAAATATGAATACAATTATGAATATAAAGACTTGACATCAAGCTTTAAAGTGGTGTTTTTATACTTTTATTAGTCATATCAATTCATCATTATCTATTAATCGCATCTTTCAATTATTATCATTACTCATTTATTTTCATCATGTGGATTTTAATGAATCAATAAAGGGTCATCACTCTCTATGCATCGTCGTAATTATAAGTTAATCATTTATAGGCTAACATCCAAAATTACACCACAAATTTTTTTTTTAAAAAAAAGTTTATCGGCCCACCCTCTTATACATGATATGATTATTTTAATAACTAACATGTATTAATTATGATGTTCACAGTCAGTCTTGCTTAATTACATACAATTGTCATATTTATCATATATCAATCATATCATTTTCCTAAAAAAAGTTAATGGCATATATGAAATGCAATAGTTTATAAAAATATTGAGAAATTTGTACATTATTTATTAACTTAAAAAAAATCATAACTATCAATTATATGATGAAAATTTAATATACTAATGTCAACATGCGCAAAATGATTATATTAATATCATATTAAAAATTACACTGTTGAAATTTGCTAAAAATTGAGATATCACAACTTTTCTAAATTCTAACCAACTTAAAATTAAAAAATATATAAAATAAGCAAAATCATTGTGGTGCCAAAATGGATCACTTTGCAAACTTATCATAGCCGTTAACTTTTTCAAAGTGGCGAATGCTTCACTAATGCCTCATCTTTACAACATTGTGATCCAACATAAACTAAAAATGTTTCTGTATGAGTGGAAACATATCTGCATGCTAATTTATTTTAGCTTGTTTTTATGTCTTAGGGAGCAAGAGGACAATTCATCTTAAGCTGCACAAAAATTAGCAGGATTTGACGTGTTTTAAACATATGAACATGAACAGATCATTTATTATTTTTACAACTGATCATAATTTTGTTTTCGTTGCTTTTGGGATTCCTTGAGTTTCAATTAATTTTTTCTCATTAAAATTCTAGGTTACAGTGCTGGTTATGACCGCAACAATCCTGTAAATTTATAAAGACCGTTGTTATAATCGGTTGCACGAAATTTTGTGGTGGTTTAAGCCACCGGAAAAAGATATTTTTAGTGTTGTGATAGCCCTTTTTTTAGTGGCCACAATGTTAAAGACCAGATCACCTCAACATTGCATGCAAAAATTCAAGTTACTATAGAACAAAGCATAGAGTTCAGCTCAGTTCAAATTTTTTCATATTTTAAATTAATTTATTTTATGAATATTTCGGTTACTACATCTTCATCCTTTTTTTTTATTTTTTGGACAACAATTAAAATTTTATTTGATTATTTATTTCTTCCAATTTTCTAATTATTTTAAAGAAAGTTTTATGACAAAATGTTGTTTTTTTTATAACGAGAGTAACTACTGTACTTTCCCCCAATAATTTATAAATCAATTTTATAAAATATTATAGCCTTAACATCACAAACAAACCCTTAAAGCTTCCTCCTCAACCATGAAAACTTTTATCTGCCACTTTATTATTGAACATATCCACAGCGAAAGCAGCGTGACGTTGCAAAGAGGTATGGTCCTCTTTTCCAACTCAGACTAGAAGCAAACCATACAGTCTCCACCAAAGTCCTGCATGGGATCTTGATTGGGTACCCAAGCTTTATTTGGACGGACTTCGCTCACCTGCACCACCCATGGTGCGTTCGAGATGCCGTACCCACATATATCCACCCACTTTTCATGCTTTTTGAACGCGGTCTGCCACGAACTAATGGCCTTGAGGCTTGTTGCCCTTTGCTCTGATTGCAAACTTTCAATCCTCATATCAGAATTTATGTTAGTCACAGCGTGGTTAAGCGACGCACACTATATAGTGAGAGGATTGCAATAATATAAGATAGACGGTGATTAGCAATGTAAATTGATTTATCTCCTAATGTTAAGTACCCGCCCATACCCACTCACAAGGTCATGGGCGTACACATACCCACCCATATCCATTGGTATGGGTGGGTGTGGCTATGGGTACCCAATACAGGGCTCTGGTTTCCCCTTTCCTCATATCTTCCTTGTCAACATAGCGGAGTTATAAATTTTGTTAGTGAGGTAATTTTTATTTTATTTTGATAGATTGAGCCACTTGAATGTAAGATCATACGAAGAGGCATGAATGCCCTCAAGCCGCAATACTTATAATTTTTTAATTCAATTATTAATATTTTAATAAAAAATATATTTACATATATAAAAAATGTTTGATTTGCTCTCTCTCATTCCTCTTGAATCCGCCATAGAGGTGCAAATGAGTCAAGTCGACTTATAAGCTGGCTGGAGCTCGACTTATTAACGAGCTCGCGAGTTAAATTTATTGAGTTTCGAGTTTGACTCGAGCATAATTTCAAGCTCTTTGGATTATCGAGCTCGTGTTCAGTCCAAGTGATGTAGTGGATCGTCGGAAGATGCGACCTGCAAGAAGGATTTGGGTTTCCCAATCCAGGGAAGAAGAAGAAGAAAGCTCCAAAAGCTTCTAAGAATATATTATATCATTCAATGAGCTCAAAACCTTACATTGGCCAACTATTTAAAGAGGAAAATAGAACTATCTAGAGTAAGGAAGGTAAACTAGTCCCTAAGCACAATAAAAGCTAAGATGTTCCTACATCATTCTCCCATTGTGTCAAAAAGCTCGACTCCGTCGAGGCACGTTATTAAAAGGGAGGTAGGGTGGCAAACAAATTCCGGGATCGAAGACTTTGAATTCAGACTTTAAAATTACCACATTAAGAGGCTTCCTTAACCACTGCATAACAAGCTCCTTATTCTTGCCTCTACCGATGAGGTCATTTATAGGCAAGGATTATGTCTCACTTGCTTTATACAACTCACGTTGTTGCTCCTGCTTTTTGCATTCTAAAAGATGAAGAGCAATATCAGAGAGTCTAGAGAGTGCTTCTATCTCAGAGTATTCAGAGACCTGATTTTCTGCTGCAGAGCAGACGCTGCCTATAATAAGAAGTCCTATAAGAGGCATAGGTAGCACACGTGAAACCTGCAAGAGCTTCGATCTCCAAGGATCAAGATCATCTGGGAGTGAAGTTGATTGCACAAAAGCTTTTGTAGATTTTAAGGTCATATCCCTAGCAAATGTGAATAGACTTTCACCTTTCTCAAGCTGGAGCATTTTAAAGGTCTCAAAGTCAAGATCAGCATGTAACCAATTGTCAGCCTGATAATTGAGACAGTCCGATTGGAAGTCTAAGGCAAGAAGTCGGGCCATCTCCCTTTGGATAAATCCCAGAATACTGAAACTTCTGAAGCGTGAATCTTTGAGGCTTTTAGTTGATCCAGAGCTTCTATTTTCTAAGTTCTCTCTACTTGCCACCGTCTCATAAAGGACACAGTCATAGAGCTCAAGTCCCTTTTGTAGGTTATCAAAATACTCTTTGTCCGCAATGTGAATTGTTGAAACCAAATTCACCTGAAGAAAAGGACTAACCTCAGCTGGAACTTTAACAAGTTTTTGCACAACCTCCTCTAGCCCCTTCAAATTTGATTTGAATACTTTAGTGACATTTCGTCGAACAGTTTGGGAGCGTTGTGTTGAATCAACCTTGTCACTAGAATTTATACCAGGCATTTTCACACCTGCAATGAGAACGTCCTCAGTACAAACAATATAGTTGGCACTTAACTCAATCTCCCCATTTCCATGATCCACCAATTGTCGTTCAATTCGTTTGACAGCTTCAACCGCTAATTCCTCGAGGGCATTATTCTCACCATATCCATAACTACCTTCATTTGTTCCGCACACCAATGGCAACGGAACCGAGCGGGCGACGTGTGGACGGAGCTGATCGGGAGTGGCTACGGTGTCGTCTGAGTCGGAACAGGTGGCGACATTAGACTTAAGGCATGCTGTGAGGCCAACAAAATTTTCCTCTGTATGCTCCACTGTGATCATTCTATCCTGCTCTCCAAAACGTGTGGGATCGATATAGTTGGTTGGCGGCAATTCCTTGAGTTTTGCGATGATGGCAGGGTTCACTCCAGCCAGCAATTCTCTGGCAAGTTCTTCATCACTCTTCCCTACCCACTTATTGTTAGACCTCGTTAAGCTATATTGTACCAGAGATTACTTTAACATGATTTAGTTATAATCTATATATATTGTCACTGTACTCAGCCTAGGCATTCAAGAATAATATTTTCTTTATTTCACTCCTGCCTCTAGCTTTCTCTGTTCTCCTCTTCTTCTTCACCGAACTCTATCATGGTATCAAGAGCCTAACATGGGAGATCAAGAATCCTCTTCTAATCTCCCTCCCGCCTCCTCCACTCTTGCCGGCAACAATGCCGCCGATACTCTCATTCCAGCTCCTCTTAAATTTCTAATCTCTAATATCAAAAATCTCATTCCCCACCACCTCACTGTCGACAACTATGCGATTTGGCGGATTCAAGTCCTCCAACAAGTTGCTGCGAACAACTACGCCGGTCATCTCACCGGCGCCACTCCAAAGCCCCTCGACAGCACCTCACCAGATTATCAGATCTGGACCTTGGTGGACAACAATATCATTTCGGCCCTCTTCGCTACGATCTCGCCGTCGATTCTTCCCTATGTCATCACTGCCACCTCTGCGCAAGAAATCTGGACAATCTTGGAACGCCGCCTCCAACCTACAAGCCGCTCTCGAGTCATACAACTCAAGAACGAACTTCATCACATTCAGCTCAAGAATCTGTCTATGCAACAGTATCTCACACAAATAAAACAGATTGTGGACAATATCGCTGCCTCGGGCTCCAAATTGGATCCTGAAGACATTATCCACTACATACTAAACGGATTGCCGACCACCTACAATTCTTTCAAAACCTACGTTCGTAACTCCAATCTTCCGGCAGATCTTGACGCATTGTATGCGCAACTGTGCAGCGAAGAGATTCACGTCAATCAAGAACATCTAAAGGCCACGACTACCGATCAAACAGCCTTCTATACCACATCCTACAACCAACAGAGAGGAAGAACTCAAAAGCGGTTCATCAAGACCAAGAACAACACTCTGGTGCCGAACCAGCATCCCACTTCCACCACACCCGCAACAGCTAACAAGCCGACTTGTCAAATTTGTGGAAAAGCAGGGCACATCGCGATCAACTGTTGGCATCGATGTAATTTCAAGTATGCGCCAACCATCACATATCAACCTCGCGCCATGCTGGCGCAATCTGCAACCTATCCATCTCAAGATTGGATTCTTGATACCGGCGCAACAACTCATCTCACGCCGGACAACACACAAATCCTGCAGCCATCTGTCTATCAAGGATCGGAAACAGTCTCCGTGGCAAACGGCTCCAACATTCCAATTCAACATTCTGGCCAGGGTTTATTACCTTTGCCAGATACTCCTCGTAAGCTGCGATTAAATAATCTTCTACACGTTCCATCTCTAACTCATAATCTACTTTCCGTCTCAAAACTAACTACAGATAATTCAATCTCTATTACTTTTGACTCTAACGGCTTTGAAATGAAGGACTCTCAGGATCATCGACTGCTGCTACGTGGCCGTCTTCATAACGGACTATATCACATCCACATTCCACCGGACTCGTCTCCAGTTGCTCTCCACACTGTACCGGATAACATCAAATTGTGGCATGACCGACTTGGCCATCCGAATAGCAAACTTCTCGCAACTCTTACTCAGACCCTATCTCTTCCTCATACAACCATTAGACAATTCTTGTGTAAATCTTGTAATGTGGCCAAAAGCCACAAACTCAATTTTAATAAAAGGTCTTCGGCCACTACCTCGCCGTTTGAAATCATACACTCTGATGTATGGGGGCCGGCTCCGACTCCCTCGCTGAATGGTTTTCGCTACTACATTATCTTTACCGATGATTTTTCTCGATTTTCTTGGATTTATTTTATGAATGCTAAGCAGGAAACTTACAGCCACTTCAAGCACCTTTGCAACATGTTACACACTCAATTCAACAGCACACCTAAATCTCTGCAAACCGATGGGGGTGGCGAATTCATGAGCAACACCTTCACTGCTTATCTCCAAGACAATGGAATTCACCACAAAATCAGCTGTCCGCATACCCCGGAACAAAATGGGGTTGCCGAGCGCAAGCACAGACACGTTATTGAACTGACGCGTACCCTTCTACACGCCTCGAACATGCCCAACGAATTCTGGTCTGACGCCGTTGCCACAGCCATACATCTAATCAATCGCATACCGAACAAACACACTTCAAATATCTCACCATATCAAATTCTCCACAGCAAAACTCCCTCCTACAGCCATCTTAGAACTTTTGGATGCCTGTGCTACCCTTGGCTAAGGCCTTACACAGACAACAAACTATCACTTAGATCCCCAGACTGTGTTTTCATCGGCTACTCACCAACCTATAAAGGCTACAAGTGCTATAACCTTCAAACTCATAAGATCCACCTATCCCGCCATGTCGTGTTCTGGGAACATGAATTTCCTTTTAAAACAACCGGCTCTCAACCAAATTCTCCTCAGGCATCCAACATACCTCCGTCTCTTTTGGTTCCTACTTCCCACACTTCTTGCATTCTTACAACACCTCAAACCGGAGTAAATCAATATATCAACACGCCAGCTGCTACTCAAGACATCTCGCCTACACTTGCCACCGAAGCCATCAGAACTTCCACCACGACCACTATTGCACCCGCCCAGGAATCTCGTCCTCAGCATCCAATGCAAACTAGATCTAAATCAGGTATTATCAAGCCAAACCCTCTCTATTCTTTATACAGCAATACAGGTCAAACTTCAAATCCCGTCACATACAATCAAGCTCGCCATTCTCCTCACTGGCAAGAAGCGATGAAGGCCGAATTTGATGCTCTGCAAAAACAGCATACATGGACCCTGGTACCACCTCCACCGAACAAGCCAATTCTCGGCTGTAAGTGGACGTTCAAAACAAAAGTTCTCCCATCAGGCAAAATTGAACGACATAAGGCACGCCTTGTGGCCTTAGGATACAATCAAAAGTATGGGGAAAACTACACGGAAACATTTAGTCCAGTGGCGAAAATGACGACCATTCGGGTGCTACTAACGGTTGCTCTAAACCGGAATTGGCCCATCCTTCAACTTGACGTATCCAATGCATTTCTCCACGGCGATCTTCCGGACGAGGTTTTCATGCGACAACCACAAGGCTTCATCGATCCACTATTTCCAAATTCTGTTTGCAAATTGAACAAATCTCTATACGGCCTAAAGCAAGCCCCACGACAATGGTTTCAGAAGCTCACAGACTTCTTACAAACCAAAGGATTTCGGTTCAGCCGCTCCGATCCCTCTCTTCTCATTTTTACCAAAGAACAAATCACTTTATTTTTCCTAATCTATGTTGACGATTTACTTGTCACAGGGAACGACCAACACACAATTCAACTTCTTCTCAACGACCTCAAAGCCATCTTCGCACTGAAACAACTAGGAGAGATTTCCCTCTGTCTTGGGATTCAAATTCAGAAAACTAACAATGGCTATTTTCTTTCGCAGGCTCACTATGGCAGAAAACTTCTACACGATGCGGGACTCACAGATTGCAAACTCAGCCCGACACCGATCTCAACCAGCTCGACAGACTGCCCAACGGACAGCCAACCCTTCTCCGACCCATCACTATACCGACGACTCGCCGGCTCGCTACAGTATCTATCTATAACAAGACCGGACATAGCATTTGCAACAAACAAAGTATGTCAATATATGCAAAAACCATCCACGAAAGACTTCACCGCCCTCCAGCGGATCCTACGGTATATCAGAGGAACCATTGAATACGGTCTCCCTCTAACCACTGGATCATTACAACTACGAACATACACCGACGCGAACTGGGCTTCCGATCACCTCGACAGGAAATCCACTTCCGGCTTCTGTTCTTTCCTCGGTTCAAACCTTATATCCTGGACTGTAAAGAAGCAAGTAACCGTGGCAAAGTCGTCTACAGAGGCTGAATATAGATCACTCTCCGCCGCAACTTCAGAGGTTCTTTGGCTCCGTCGTGTGCTTGCCGAACTAAACATTGAACAATCAGCACCAACACCAATTCACTGTGATAACATATTGGCCATCGCCCTAGCAAAGAATCCGGTCTTTCATGCTCGAACAAAGCACATCGAAATAGACTATCACTTTATACGGCAACATCTCAATAACGGCGCCATCACTCTACAACACATACCCTCCAAAGATCAAGTCGCCGACATTCTCACCAAAGCCTTCACTACAGCTCGGTTTCGCGAACTCCGTTCCAAATTAAACATTCAACCGAATGCTTAATTTGAGGGGGGATGTTAGACCTCGTTAAGCTATATTGTACCAGAGATTACTTTAACATGATTTAGTTATAATCTATATATATTGTCACTGTACTCAGCCTAGGCATTCAAGAATAATATTTTCTTTATTTCACTCCTGCCTCTAGCTTTCTCTGTTCTCCTCTTCTTCTTCACCGAACTCTATCACTTATCATATGGAATCAAGTTCTGATAATGATTACTATTCAGAAGTATTCTTGTAAAAATTGCCCCAGCTTTGCATAAGCTAAGGGTGTTGATATGGTGATCATTGCAAAACACCTCCTAGAACTTTGCTCCGATCTGGTTGTCTCTTCT